GTGTCTGCAGCTGGAGATAAAACCAAAGACCACATTGCAGGGACTTCAGCCGGGTCAGAGTCACTGCCCAGTCTGCTCTCCGACCCGTCTCTCTCACCTTACTGGGAGGGGTATGGGTAATTGGAGGAGAAGGCTGGCACCTTCGTGACTTTCTTAGAGGTCATCTGAGGTCCCCCCAAAGGTTAAAAATCATGTTACTAGGGTATTACAGGTCTGAGCCAAGACTGCCCCCTACAGCACAGGCTGACCATTTGCTTTGGCTTTGATCGTGAACACTAGCCTGGAACATCCTAGTTGGGAGTGGGCTCTGGGGCCAGACTCCCTGAATTTGGGTCCCGGCGGAATGACCATGGACAGCTTAGCCTCTCTGGGCTTCCATGTCCTCACCTATTACTTGGGGTTAGCTGCCTCCATGCTGCTGAAGTTGGTGAGATTAAATATAACAGTAGCTAACTCTCAGGCACATACGTGACTGACACTGTTTGAAGTGCCCTGTAAGACCTGGAAAGGTTTGAAAACAGTGCCAGGCATGTGAAAAGCTCTGGGTGAGGGTTATGTGTTCCCCCATCTCCTCCAAGCCCTTTTACCACCCAAACTGAGATTTCGCCTTCCTCTCGACTCCTAGCACCTCCTCATCCAGGCAGGTTCCGTCGCTCTCTGATCTGCAGCTTTTACATGTTCTGTCTCTTCTCTCCTCTGATCGTGTGGTCCCTGAGGGTGGGGCCGGGCTTGTTGGACGAGTTTCCCGCCTGTGACCCACACCAGGCTGAGCTGCAGGAAGGGGCTGCCTTAGGGACACCTGGCTGGCCGGGAGTGTGCACCGGGAGGTGCTGTGTCCTGCACCCCCAGCCCTGCCTCAAAGGCCAGTGCTGCTTAGGGCGCCCTGGCTGCTTCCCAGCACCTGTCAGATGCACAGCTAGTCCTGCCAGCGTCACCTCCTCCTCTTCCTCAGGGTGGAGTCCATGTCCATGCGTAGCATGGGGGATCCTGGAAATATTACTTCCCGCTTGGTGGAGAAGGAGAAGGCCAGAGACTGCCTGACTCCTATGGGGTAAGTGCTCACCTACAGCTGTGCGCTTGTGCCCCCTCCGCTCCCCGCCTGGTCTGGGCACAGGGCACGGGTGCTCCGGTCATCTTGTGGCCAGTGGTGCCCACCCTGGCCTCCCGCTTTCATGCTCTGCAGGGACTCTGGGGATGGGACTTAGTGCTGTCCCTGACTTGCCCCTGAGGCCCCCTCCGGGTCCTATCTGGGTCACTGGGTTTCCAAACATGGCCTAGCCTGCTACTCCCTGCCTCAGGGGTTCAGTCACCCAGGGGATAATGGCAGCTGCATTCCAAAGCCTAGGAGAACTAGGAAGTTGAGGAATTAGGAAGCTTTTGGTTACTGGACACACTGGTGAGGGAACTTGGGCCCCAACAGATGCCACGTGGAAAGTGTGTTGTGTTTGATGGCATGTTAGCCCTGCTGCCAGTGTCACTGAGCTTCTGGGCTGCCCCCAGAGTTCGAGGGCACAGCATCCTGGCTCCACCTGAGGCTCAGAGAAGGGCATTGCCCCTGCCGCCTCCGTCTGCAGTGGCTGTATCTCCGAGAGAAGCCCGTAAAGCCAGGGCCCAGGCTGGAAGGCCTCCCTGTGGCTCTGGGCTCCCAGGAAGCTTGGGTGGGATCTTCCCCGAGGGGACTTGGGGGTTTTCATCTCCCACTTTAAAGGAGTTTTCCTGAGGTATAGCAGCTGGCCTCGAGAAGCCAGTTAGTGCTGCTCCCCACCCTCATCTGCCCATTTTGGTCTCTGATGTATGAGCCTCTTGGGATTGGGGTGACCCTGTCTATACCCCTCCACACCCCCTGAGTCATCATTCTGTCCCTGGCACACACTGGCCTTCCGAGCACAGCTCCCCAGCCCGGCCGGTGCCCAGGCCACCAGACCTCACCCACATCGTTTGCTGTTCCTCTTCTAGGATAACCTCGGAGAATGTGGCTGAGCGGTTTGGCATTTCACGGGAGAAGCAGGATGCCTTTGCGCTGGCTTCCCAGCAAAAGTGAGTGTTGCTGGGGGTGGAGTGTTGACAGGCCAGAGAGCAGGTTTGGAGACTGGCCTGCGCGGTCTCGGGTGCAGCTGCCCTCGGGCTGCGGCCGGGCAGTGAGTGGCGTCCAAGCCTCGTGCCCCACAGGAGGGAGAGACAAGCAGGGGCCGGGGCTGCTGTGCGTTGTTAGTGCTTCCGTGTCCTGTTGTCTGTTCACCCTGTCTGTTCCCTACCGGGCCTCAGTTTCCCCATCTGGTCACAGGGGAAAGGACTGTTCTCTAACTGCTGGTCTTGTGGGGCCCCTCTGGACAGCCTGGAGTGTGGGGCCAGCGTTGCTGGAGACCCAGGCGTCCCAGCTTCTGGACCACTCCTGGGGCTGGGGGTGACCTCAGAGGAACCCCAGCTGCCCAGGCAGTGCAAGGCAGTAATGTCTAGCCGGGTGGGCTTCTTTAAGGCAGTGGTTCTTAGCCACTTGGGGTCAAGTAGTCACTTGAGAATTTGGTGAAACCTGTGGCTGCTTCCCAGGGGAATGCCCCAGGCACTTAACATTTTGTATCTGATGCTAAGGATCACACTAAAATGCCCTGTGTTTTTACACTGTTTTAATACTGAGACTTATCAAGTAAGATTAGTGTATGTTATTTAAATCAGTGAAAACTGGGGGACAGATGAAGCCGAGCTGTTGTGATCAGACAGGAAGGCTGGCAGAACCCAGCACAGATGCGCCTGGAGCCTCCGTCCTCACTTTGGCATAGAGAGCCCAGCAGGCTTCGTCCCTCTTCCCTTGTGGGTGTCAGGCTCAGCTGGCAGCCACCACCCCCATGCCTCCTCCCCCTCCCCTTCGAGGCTGGGCTGGTGGGGATCTGAAGGTCTGAGGCTGATGGTGAAGAAGGCCCTGGAAGGCCTTGGGCCTCCCACACCCAGGGCCAGGTTGGGGTAGTGGGGAACCCACACCAGTCCCTCCGAGCTCCCCCAGGGCGAGCGTGTCCGGCATCTAGCAGTCTGGGCTTATGTGTCTGCCCCCGTGGGGAGGAGGCAGAGGCAGCAGAGGGCCCCTAGGAAGGAAGGAAGCCTGAGCCTGACTGTCCATGGTGCTGGCAGGGCAGCCAGGGCCCAGAGCAAGGGCTGTTTCCAAGACGAGATCGTGCCTGTGACCACCACAGTCTGTGACGACAAGGGCACGGAGAGGAGGGTCACCGTGGCCCAGGATGAGGGTATCCGCCCCAGTACCACCATGGAGGGCCTGGCCAAACTGAAATCCACCTTCAAGAAAGATGGCTCTACCACTGCTGGTGAGACGGGGCTGGGGGAACGGGGAGAAAGGGGCTGTGTCCATGTGGGTGTGTGTTCTCTGGGAGCCGGGAGCCACCCAGCAAGGCGCACGTGGGCGGTCTGGGCCTCCTCACCCCTGCGGTCTGTCTCTAGGAAACTCTAGCCAGGTGAGCGATGGGGCAGCTGCCATCCTGCTGGCCCGGAGGTCCAAGGCGGAAGAGTTGGGCCTTCCCATCCTGGGGGTCCTGAGGTCCTATGCAGTGGTTGGGGTTCCGCCTGACATCATGGGCATTGGACCTGCCTACGCTATCCCTGTAGCTTTGCAAAAAGCAGGTAAGGTGGCGCTTCACACTCTGAGCTGTGAAGTGAAATGTGGATCTCCCTTCTGCCTCTCATGCTGTTGCCAGAAAGGGGTGGTCCTGTGGGTGCTGCAGAGTGGAGGTAGGGCCAACTAGCACCCCTACCCCAAGCCCTTCCTGACCCCACAGCTGGGACCCACACATTTATCTGGAACAGACAGACACACCAGGCAGCCTACAGGCCAAGGATGGGGTGGGGCCTCAGGAGACTGAGAGTCTAAGGGTAAGGGACTGCTGGCCCGTGCTAAGGGTAAGGGCCCGCAGGTCAGCTCAGGTCCTTCTCCCTCGCTTTCAGGGCTGACAGTGGATGACGTGGACATCTTCGAGATCAATGAGGCCTTTGCAAGCCAGGTGAGCCTGTTTCCCAACACTGCCTGGGCCCTGAGCAGCCCAGTTGGTGCCAGGGGCACAGGGGACCGAGAAGGGAGCCACAGCTGATGCTCTGCCTCCTTTCAGGCCGTCTACTGCATAGAGAAGCTAAAACTACCCCTTGAGAAGGTGAACCCTCTGGGGGGCGCTGTGGCCTTGGGCCACCCACTGGGCTGCACTGGGGCTCGACAGGTCATCACACTGCTCAACGAGCTGAAGCGCCGTGGGAATAGGTGAGGCTGACTCCCCAGGGGGCTATCATGGGGCATGCCCAGGCTAGGGCACCCAAGGGGAGCAGAGAGAAGTATAATTGCACTCACTCTGCATTAAGGATGCAGGGGTATGACCCCCATTTTCCACAAGGGCCAGCTATATGAAGGGGACCCTGGCCTGTGGCAGGCACCTGCCACCTTGTATGTGCCTGGGTGGGCAGCCAGGGAGTTATGTACCCCTAGGTTTGCAAACTCTGCCCACGAAGGCCTTGGTCCACGCAGCTCCACCTGGTCTGGAGAGGTCTTGGGGGCGGGGCTTCCGCCCTCTGTGCCTGCACCCAGCCAACACAGCGTTGCCCCCACAGGGCCTATGGGGTGGTGTCCATGTGCATGGGCACCGGAATGGGGGCTGCTGCCGTCTTCGAATACCCCGGCAAGTGAGCGAAGCGACACCCAGGCAGTCCCTTGGTGGGCAGAAGGCGATGCCGCAGAAGTGGTGCCGCGGGGCAGTTTGGCACCGGTGGGTGTGGTGGTACTGGGCCAATCAGGGCACTTTGGTTAATTTGGAAAATGTGAACACTGATGACACACTACAAGAGTGGGTGAGGTGCTGGGTCACCCAGGCCACGGGGGCCACTGTGTAATTCCCAGGGGAGGGGCCTTTTGGATGAGGCGTGCCATCGACACAGTAAATGTATGTTATCTCATCTGTGTGGCTGTGGTTTATCCCCAGGGCCAGCTCTCACCATGCTGGTCTTGCGCTGCTCAGTCCGAGTAGATTCTTCACCGCCACAGCCTCCACGGCGGTGCTGCCTGCCCTTCCCGTGAGCTCCGAGGGCATGCGTGCAGGACCTCGGCTGAGACCAGTGCTCTGGAGGGCCCTCCCAGGCGCTGCTCGGAGGTCCTCCATGTGTGTCCCTGCACAGCACACCTGTTCCTTACCTCTGCACTATGTTTATTTCCGAAGTCGGGGTGGCGGGGGGGGGCATGGGGCGTGGTCTGAGGGCAGAGCCTCAGCGCTGGTAGGGTGACACAAATCTCTCGTCGTAAGAGCCTCGGCCCCGGAGTTGCAGGGTGCAGGCCTTTTCCCCAAGCACACCTTCCACCACCAGCGTGGACTCGTACAGCTCATTGTTCCTGTGGGGCCGCAGAGGGCAGGGCTGAGGCGCAGTTCCAGGTGTGGGCAGTGCCCAGGAGGTAGGGAGGGGCTGTACCTGGCAGTAAAGAGAACCTGCAGGGCGATGGAGGTCGGGGGCCCATTGACTGGTCTCGCCTCCAGCAGTCCATTGCTTGGGGAGACCCCGAAGATCACAGGGCCCTTGTCCGGCTTCTTCTGTCCTGCGCCAAGGGGAGAGAAACATATACCTGGGCAGGCAGCTCCATGCGCTGCCCCATACCCTGACCCTTCACCTCTGGGGGATAACTTAGGGTGGCCAAACTGGTCATTCCTGCAGGAATTCTCAGGTGGCACCAGCCCCGTGGAGCCAGCCTGCGAGGACAGGACACATGGGCCCCTTCCTGCCTGCTGCCCAGCCACAGGGGAGCAGCAGGCAGACAGGAGAGTGTCACATACCCATCAGCACAGTCCAGTAGCTCCGGGACCTGCTCAGGTTCATCAGGTAGACCTCCCGGATGTGCTCCTGCTTCACAAAGCAGGTCCCGAAGTCCACCCAGCTGGTGGAGAGCTGTAGCTCGGGCACGGCCACAGTGGCCCGCAGGGGCACCACCTAAGGGGACAGAGCCTTTAACCTGGTGGGGACCAGGTGACCTGGACTACTCCTGCTGGGCTCTGAGCCAGGGTATCGGGAACATGTGAGCTCTGCTGACCCCAAGCACTGATGCTTCTGAGGAGCGCACAGGCAGCACTGTGGAGGTGGACGGGGCCGGCACCATCGTCTAAAGCCAGGAGCTGCTGGAGGGCTTCTGTGCAGGTAGAGGCCAGGACGGTGCCATCGGCTCCCCCTGCCGCTCATCTCCTGATCAAGCTCTGTGGTTTCTGCTTCCTGGTCAGGTGCCCTCCTGCCTTCCGTCCCTCCCATGGGGGCCCCGAGGCCCAGCCCTGTGTGACGGCTTGGACTCCAAGCCATCTACCTTTTTCTCTTGATGTCAGGCTCCACCTGTGCCCTGACTGCCTTGGCCCCTGGCAGCCCCACCACCACACTGCCCTCAGGTACAGCCAAACCCACCTCCTCACCCCGGCCTTCCCTGTCCCCGGGGTCCAGCACCTGCCCAGGTACCACGCTGGAGGGCCCACCTGGTTCCAATGCGCAGACCTTTCTTTCTGGCCTCACTGAAATCCACCCTCCAGGCCCTTCCTTCAAGCTCCTCACCTGCACCTCACCATCAGCCCCGCCAGCTCAGCTCCAACCCACAGCCCCATGATCTTCTGTCACAGCTCATAGGTCTAGGCCTGTGGTGCTCACCACTCGTGCCTGAGGGTCATCCCTCAGTCACTGTCCCCACCCATCAGTCCATGTTCTTGGCTTGACCTGTAGTTTCTCTTTTCACTAAATAGTGATTAATAAGAGGCTTCATATACTGCCTCCTCCAGGAAGCCTTCCTTCCCTGCTTTTTCACTGTATAGCACCTCATCTGGCTCTGAGCTCCTAGGTCAGATAAAGATGAATGACCCTCACCTCTCCGTCTGCAAGGCCTCTTCCAAGGCCTTGGGCTCCTCTTATTTCTGAGGGGTCCTGTTGGGGTTTGTCATCCTCTGACCCCACAGAGACCAGACCATCTAGGCTGGGTCCACCCTCCTCAGCATGTGGGACAGGCCCGGGACTCACCTGAGCGGTGTGATTGGTGTACTTCAGGAGCAGATCCTGGGTGAACACCATCTCTTTCTCTCCACTCGCGCTCCGCTGAATGTTCACTCCAGGCAGCATCTGGTCAGCTGGGAGTCTCTGATAGGACAGCAGCTCCAGGGACAGTGAGAAGGACACGCCCACCTGAGCAGACGGGAACACACTGCCACCTCAGGCTCCTGCAGGCAGCGGCAGGTGCTGCACCTGGAGCCCTGTCCTGCCCTCCCACAGCCCCTGCAGGCCCGGTAAGGTCTCAGCTTGGTCTTGACGCAGCACAGCCTGCAGGGCCCAGACTGACAGCCCCGCCCAGCAAAGAGCCCAGAACGCACGCCAGCCCCACCACCACCCAGAGTCCCCACCAGGTGCATTCACTCTGCAGACACTGCCTGTCCTGGCCTGTGCCCAGCACCCGTTAGCACTGAGGACAGAGCCATGCTTGTCCTTTGCCCCCTAGCGTGACCAGGCTGGTGGGCCCTGTAAGGCCTGTGTTTTTGTCCAGAGGACAGACCAGAGCCTCTGATGGGTTTTAAGCAGGGGGATGTCTGGGTCAGCCTTGCCTTCCTCAGAGGTCACGTCACTCAGGAGTAGGGGGACACGTGTGGTTTGGGTCCAAATGTCTGTGTGTATGTGTGTGTGCCTGAGTACAAATGTATGAGGGTGAAGTGTGTACACATTTGTGCATGTGTGAGAGAAGAAGGTGGCTGGCCCAGGGGAGTGTGTTCTTCGAGGGTGAGGACCCCAGAATCCTCCACTGACCAGCATACTCTTGTGCGGGTGGAGCACCAGCTGCTTGCCTGCCGCTGCCGACCCCTCCTCACACTCCGTGTGGACAGGGCCTGGAGCTCTGTGGCTGCGGCTAGCTCTGTCTTGAGAAATGGAGAAGGGCCTGGAAACCAGGAGCCGGAAGTAGTGTGGGATATCTGTCGTGTTGGTCAGCTTCAGGTGGTGGGTGGTCACCAGCTCACTCAGCACCTGGGTGGCCACAGAGGTTGGGGAGGCTAGGGATGCATCTGTCCCTTCTCCTGTGGCTCTGGGGTCAGGATGGGGATGCTAGGGAGGGGGACTGAGACTCTAATACCTGTGCCTCAGAAGGGCTTATAGGGACATTTGAGAGGTAAACTGTCAGGGCCGAGGTGGGAAGCACACTCACCCCAGAACAGGGCTGCTCAGGGATGAGGTCACTGGCCTGGTGCCAGAATTCCATGCCACCACCGTAGTCCAGCTCCACGCTTAGCCTGCCAGCAACAGGCATCACAGGGCCAGGGCCAGGGCGGGGCATCTGGGTCCCTGGCTGCCCCTGGCTCTGCTCATCTGGGCCTGGCCAGCCTTTCCTTGGGCTGACCTGCTAGCTGCTCCTCCCTCCCATCCCTGTTGTCTTGCTCTCAGAACCCTGTCTGGTCCCCAGCAGTGCCAGGTCAGTGTGTTCCCCAAGGGGGATGAAGGGAGCCCAGGTGGCCCGACTGACTCACTGTGCGGGCCTCACGTAGCTATGCAGGTCCAGCCTCAGAGGTCCCACGGCAAAGTCCTGCAGACGCTGCATCCTCCCTGGAAGCTCCCTGTCCACCTACCGAGCCCAGGCCTGATCACTGGCGGTCACTGAGCAGGCGGTGTGCCACCCAGGAAACAGGCGGTGGCTGCGGCCCCACCCTGGGCCAGGAGGGCTTACCTTGTTGTCCAAGCTCATGTAGCCAAGGGCATAGCCAACACACTCCACCTTGTGCAGGACGAGGGGGCCAAGGACCAGGGGTGTGAAGGAGATGGAGATGGTGCTGCTGCCCCCTGCAGGGACCACCTGGCACAGGCACACAACCTTGGCATTGCTTAGGGCCACTGTCCAGCCAGTGGGGACTCTTCCAGGCACCTCCCAGCCCAGCCCCAACTTACCACCTGCTTGGGGCTGATGCGGTACAGGTGGTCAGAGGGCACTCCCTCATGCCCCTGCAGGACAACTGAGATGATCTGTGAAGGGCTGTCATTGGCCCTGGAGCTGCTCTTGGCCTGTCATCAAGATGTCACTGAGGCTCACGCAGGCTCAAGGCCCATTGGCCACACCTGGACAGCCAGTCTGAGACACCCCCCCCTTTGCTCACAGACTGGGTAGCTTCGTGGCTGGACGACTCATGAGAGAGACTTGGGGACGGGGGGGAGTTGCTGCTCTCTGGGATCTCAGGTGATAGGAGGTCATTTCCAGCTTGGTCCTGCAGCGGGAAAGGTGGCCCGTAAAACACCAGCAGGTCCACCAGCTGGTCCTCCTTTTCTTCCGGAGCATAGGTCTCCCAGTCCAGGCGTATGTCTGGGGCAGATAGAGGTGAAAAAGGGTGAGGAATAAGGCGAAAGCAGGTGGGTCTTCCCCTCACCCCTACCTCCCTGGAGCCCCTCAGTGGCTGCCTGTTATCCCAGACTCAGTGTGGAGGGTGCCTTGCTTCCTCTCTGCTGCCATTTCTAGGCAATACTGGTTTTAAAAAAAAAGTCCAGCCCTGGCTGGTGTGGTTCAGTGGATTGAGCACCAGCCTGTGAACCAGAGGGTCTCCGGTGTGAGTCCTGGTCAGGGCACATGCCTGGGTTGCAGGCCAGTTCAGGTAGGGGTGCGCAAGACAACCACACATTGATGTTTTTCTCCCTCTCTTTCCCCCACCCTTCCTGTCTTAAATAAAATCTTTTAAAAAATAAGGAATAAATTAAAAAGTCTTCAGGCTTATACCCGCCAGCATTGTCTACCCTAGTCCTCCAGGTCACAGAGCCAGGTCCGCATGTCCGAATGCTTGGCCCCAAAGCGCCCCGTGCTCTCCCCCTGGCTCCTCTGCTGGCCAGTTTGCTGGCTTCCCTGGGCCCTCCAACTCCTGCAACCCTCCACTCTCCCCCTGCACCATCGGCCTTCATCCACGTTCACGCCCGTCCCCAGCCAGCCCAGTCTTGGGAACCACCATGTCAACTTCTGTCTTACCAGGGTTCTCACATCTCCTCTGCCCCCATCTTTCCACCTGTCTGGCAGAACCTAGCCCTGGATGAACTGAACTGACCCTCTGGGCCCCACTGGAGAGCGTTTCCCCACATCCATGCCGAACAGCTGGCCATCCCCCAAATCTGTCCCTGACCTAAACTGTGCCCCAACTCTGCCCATCACTCTGTTGCCTACTTAGCTCTCCTTGCCACAACTGTCAAGTCGTCCCTGTCCTCTGGCACCTCCACTGCCTCCCGACATTTAGCTGGTGGTCCCACCTCGCCTCCCTCAAGCTCTCAAATTGGGAAGCCCCTGAAGCCCTGTCCCAACTGTCCGCATCTCTCCGTCTCTCCATAGTGACTCCGTCTCCCCTCCAGCCTTCGGTCCTGTCCCCACCCCCATCAGGGCCAGCCATGTCCAGCCTCCCTTCTAGCTGCTTCCCAACAGCACTTACAGGAGGGCAGGTCCCTTCGCCTCGAACAAAATTCCTTCTGCCAGACAGCAGCCTCATCGGATGAACTGTCCCTCATTGCCACCACCTCCTCAGCTCTCATCCAAACCCCAGTAACACCTGATTCATTGGTTGGGCCCTGGGGTGCCCGAGGCTCCTGGTCTTGTGTTACTTAGGGATGTTAGCTGGCACTCGCCTCTCACCCCACCATGTCACTCTCAGCAAGGCCACCAGTAACCCCCACACCCTGAAAGTCAGCGGGCAATCTCACTTCCAAGTAAAGGCAAAAAATGTGCACGTGATGATGAGCCCCAGGGGAGGGAAGGTGACCACTACAGGAAAGGAAAGAGGAGAGAAATTCCCACTGAAACAAAGGGAAGACAGAATAAAGTCACGAAATGCAAAAGGGAGAAGGCAGAAAAGTAAAGTAGGTCATTAAGAAGGAAGAAATGTATAGACTGAGCAACTTTTCCTCTTTAAAGATAGAGTGTCAGATTGGATTTTTGAAACCTCGGCTCTGCTGTTTACAAAGAAACACACATCACAGTTAGGAGGGTGAAAAGCAGGGTTGGGCCAAGAGATGCTGGCCAATGCCAACCACGTGCGACCGGGCGTGGCACTGTTCCTCAGGGCAAGGTGAGGTGGGGTGATGGAAGGCATCGTTTGTGCAGATTCAGTTCTCAGATGCATCTGACAATAGAGCCCCTAAAAACCTAAAACTGCTGGAAGTGCCGAGAGCACCTGATAAAGATATGATCAGCGCACCCTTTCCAAACTACAGATCTGGTAGACAAAAAGCAAGATCACACGGAGTGGCAGCTCTCTCCCCCGCTGCTCATTTCTCAGAATCACCTGCGAAGTTTAAAGACCACAAAGCACAGGCCCCGCTCCTGGGTGCTCGGGTTCAGTGGGTCTGGGGTAGCCCTGCCTGGAGGTGCCCCGAATCCTCACTGGGAAGCTCTGACTGGTTCCGAGGTGGACACAGCTCTTCCTGTGGTCGGCTACCCTTCGTCCCCGTGTGCTGCCCCAGGCCAGATGGCCCACCCTTCCTCTGGGACTCGGCCTGAACCGCCCTCCACGCAGATACGGTCCCCAGCACTCTGGCCCTGCCCGGCAGTCACACCTGATGCCCTCAACATGCTGGCGGCCCCCCTGTCACCTGTCTTGCCCACTGGGGCAGAGGCCACTCGGCAGAGGCCGAGCCTGTCCTAGTCCTTCAGCAGCCCCATCTCCTCTCACAGAACCTGGCACGTAGCTCAGGTCCTTCTGGCTAAAGGAGTGAGAAGACGTGCCCCCTGCCAGTGTCTATCCCTGTGCCCAGGGTTGGACAAGGCCAAGTGCTGTCCCCGAGGATACAAATGGCTCTCTCTGACAACCCCCTGACTGGCTCAGTCACTCCACACCTTGGCCCTCAGGGGCCTGCCTCAGCAACCACAGGCCACCTGGACTCCTAGGTTCTGGTCAGGGGCCGTGAGCTTCTCCCAGCCTCATCTGCCCTCCCAGCCTGGCCCACCACACGGCACAACCCACAGCTGCAGCCCCAATTTAATTCCTGGGCATCTCACCGCAGGGGCTGCAGTTATTCAGGCGAAGGACCCGGGTGACTGTATTTCCTCCAGAGACCTGGGTGTTGAACCTGGAGGCAGGAGACCAGGCTCAGCCCAGCCACAGCCCACACACAGGAGGGCTGCAGGCCTTCCCCATGCAGTGCCCAGTGAACTGTGACCCGGGGCTACTCACTGGTGACAACATCTCCCCCCTCCCTACTACCACACTGTCCGACAGATCCCACCTCAGATGGTAGGAGGCGCCCTGGGTCTGGCACCAACCTCAGGCCACAATGACTACTCTGTTCCCAAAAGCCATCCGAGAGGTGTGTCCCCTGTGGCCCCTCCCCTCCGGAGCACCCTGTCCTGGGTCTCTTTTGCTGGGGGGCAGCATGTGGCCCTGGGCCAGTTGAAGAGCCAGGAGAGAGCAGCCCAGGCTGGAAGCTGGAGGGTTTCCTGGGGCCAGAGAACACGGTGGGGGCAGGGCACCTGATGATAGGCTCCTTCTGGGGCTGGTGGGCCATGTAGCTGGTCCTCTGAGAGCTGATGGGGCAGCCCACCACGGCCATGTGCACCGGGATGACTGAGGGCGGCAGGTCCCCCACCTGCAAACACACACCCGCCCCTTTGTCACTCTTGTTGCCCTCTGGCTCCCCACTCAGGCAAGGCCTTTCCTCCTCCAGCCAAGCTCAGGGTCCCCACAGCTTGGTCTCAGCCGGGCCTGGGCTCTCTCCGCACTGTCGGAGCCTCGCCCTGGACACCGCAATGGCTGGGGCCTCCTGGCCCTCTGCCGGTCCCTGGCCCTTCGCTCTGCCTCTGCCGTCCTGCCCAGCCCAGGCCGGCACGGACCTTCCAGCCTGCCCGCCTTTCACCTCTATGGCCTGTTCCATCCAATTTCTGTACCTTTTACATGGAAGGAACTTTGTTATTCCCTCTCTCCTAATAAAAAGTAAAAAATGGCTTGTTTGTTTGTTTTTTTAACTTAGAACACAGCCCTGGCTGGTGTGGCTCAGTGGACTGAGCACAGGCCTGTGAACCAAAAGTTCACTGGTTTGATTCCCAGTCAGGGCACATGCCTGGGCTGCAGGCCTGGTCCCCAGTAGGGGGTATGTGAGAGGCAACCACACATTGATGTTCTAAAATCTTTAAAAAATGTGAAACGAAGTGTGATAACCACCCACAGCCCTGCACGCCCGGCGTGACCCCACACCTGCCCCCGTTTTCACACGCATGTATCGGGACAGACTCCTCTGATGCCCGTGAAACCGGGCTACGAGTGGGAGCAGATGGGCCGGCTTTTGTCCTGGGCACCTTTGCCTTTCTCGTCACCACACACGGTTTTACTGCCGCAGGTTCGCAGCGTCACTGACGGGCAGAGCGGATGCCGCTGCACAGATGCGGCCCAGATTTTCATCGAATCTTTTATTGACAGACGTGGGTGCTTAGGCTGTTTCCGCCCCCTGCACCCCCATTACCAACAACACGGAGAAGGGAAGGGAGCCTGGTGTGAAGTTAGTTGTTCACACAGCTACTTCTCTCCTTGGGGAACCTTTAAATGTGTGTCCCCAACGCATGGCCAAAGTGCCTGCAAAGGACAACGCCCATTTCCCGGCCCACGCCCCCACCCGCACCCACACCCACAGTGGGGGAGCACCCTTTCCCGGGCACCTCCGCCACTGCTTTCAAACCTTGTGACTCTTACCCAAACCAGGATTTCGCTATGACTTTAGTTCCCAGTGACGGCGACACCTTTTCATGGGTTCATCAGTAATTGGTATTTGTCATTCCTGAATTGCCTATTCAAAAACCCTTTGCCCGCCTGGGCTGCTTTGTCCCCCTTATTTTCAGTTGAGAACTCTGTATATTTAAGCGATCAACCCTTGCATCATACATAATACAAACAATGTAAAGCAAATATCCACTATAATTAACCTTTCCAGCACACGAAACAGTTTGTGAAAATCTTCTGTGCCGTACACGTTTCCTCCCTACACACGAGCAGAGGAGGCCCCTTGATGGCTCTGTCTGTTACCTTATTGTCCCTGCATCTGCCCCGGCCCAGCAGACCACACAGGAACCTACACGCAGCAGGTGTTTGATTTCACGCTGAGTGAGTGAACGCCCTGGGGGCTGGGCGAGGATGTGGCTCTGGGAGAATGCCGCTGTGGCTCTCTCCACACTTATTCCCCACTTCAGGTCTCGGGTCTGTTGGATCCCTCTGCCCTCCTTGGTGTGGCCCCAGCCAAGGGACCCCATGGGAAAAGGTGTGGGAGCTTCCACTGCTCACAAGGATGCCGCCTGCCTGAATCCCAGTGGTTGCTGCAGATGCAGAGACCCAACCCCCTCCCAAGTCCTTTCACTTGGTGAGATGTGAAAGGCTGAGGGCCAGGTGACGGGGAAAGGACAGCCTGGAGGTGAGGGCCAGGGTCAGGTTCCCCGCAGGCCAGGCCGCGGCCCGCCTGCCAGCGCTCACCGTGCAGATGAGGCTGTCCCAGTACTCGCCCCACATGTTTGCGCAGCCTGTGATGTTGATGCGGAGCTGCTGATGGGCCCCCAGGATGCCCTGGGAGACGTGGGGGAAGAAGGCAGCTCCTTTCCCGTGAGACAACATGTTTTCCATAAAATCTGGGGGAGAACCAGGAAAGGGGATTCAGGACCCCAGGGTGGGAGGGTGAGGTCCAAACCCTCAGGCTTTAGCAAAGCCCTGTAGCAGACACGTGACCACCCCCCCTCCCAGCCTCTCCTTGGTCCAGCAAAGCAGGCCCTCTATCCGGAACTCCAGAGTCCAGGAGCCAGCCCCCAGTGGGAGCCCACCCTTCGGAGCCGCCACCCATCCCCAATCAAATCCAGGTCCTGGCCACACGCCTTACACCCTATCAAGGAGAAGGCAGCATTCCAAAGAGGGGCGCTGTTGGATGGGGGCCACAGCCATCTCAGGGACCTTGCTAGGAAAGACACTGAGATGGCCAGTGTCCGCATCCTTAGGACATCACGGAAAATCCCACTCTGGCCAGGCCTGGGCTCAGCGCCTGCCCTGGGAATCGTACCCAGCTGCTCCCGCTTGGCCAGCTGCTGGCGAATCCGTGCCGTCTTCAGCAGAGCAGGGGACATGTCGGAGCTTTACCAGCCAGGACACAGAAAAGAGCATCAAGCCATCTGAACCTTGGCAACCAGCATCCAGCCAGGTGCCCAGTGGAGGAAGGTGGCCCTGTCCACTCCTCGTGGAGGAGGGAGAATCAGGTCTCTCCACCTCCTCCTCTGGCCTTTGCTCCTGCTACATCCCTACCACCCAAAGCCAGCCCCCCCAGCCCCAGGGCCTTCCCCCCAAAAAACTCAGTAGGGCTCTGGGGCAGGGACCCCTAATCCCAGTTTCTGTGCTTTCATGACCCCGGTGCTAACCCAGCCCAGACTTCCCATTCTTGCCCCACTTTCTGCCACAGGCCCTGCCGCCAGCCTCTCCTGCCGAAACCAGCACCGAGGCCACACTAACATTTCTGGAGTGGGAAAGTCAATGGCTCAGAAACTGTGAGTGGTTCCCCACCACCACTGGCCGCAGTTTTAAAGCTGGGATCCCCTGCCCCGGGCAGCTTTGCAGAGAGGCGTTTGCCGCGCTGTGCCGGTGCACCAACGGCATCTGCGGTGTAAACACCTCCCTGTGGCTGTTTTCCAGTGACAGCTGTGAGGAACACCTCACTGCCACATCTCTGCCCACACAGCTCCCTCTGCCTCTGGCGCCTTCCCCCTCACCCATCTGGCCACTCGGCAGCCCTCCGGCCAGCAGAGCAGCCTGAGGGGGAGGGCCTCGACCCCAGCCTCTCCCAGAGCCGCCCTCCCCCAACCCCGGGGCCCAGGCCGGGGGGCAGCGGCAGCCGTTTCCTCTCTGTGTTGCCCCAGGTCCACCTGTGAAAGCACACCCTCCCACTCACACCCGCTTGCCTCCGGCCACCTAAGTGCCACAGAGGCCCAGTGGGGCAAACCCCACCTGGCCACATCCTCCCCAGGGACGGCCTCTGGAAGAAGCCAGACTTACAGGTTGGGTTTTTGGCTCAGGCTGTTCTCAGGGCTCCCGAAGTACTCAAACTGGAGGGTGAAAGGGGTCTGTATCGGGGAGTAGTTGGTCAGGATGAGCTGGCGGTTCACACGGGTCCTCAGCGGTACCGTCGAGCCGAAGTCCAGGAGGAGGGCCTCCGCGCAGCCTGGCCCCGACTCTGCACTGGGGACACTGTCCCACACCATGGGCACCAGGTCACATGCCACCTTCCGCCCTGCCCAGTGAGCCACCATGGGTGGGGGTGGGAGAGCTGTCTAGAAGCCCAAGGTACCCACAGCCCTGTCCCTGCCTTCTGCCACCTGCCCGGACACCATGCCTTCAAGTGGGTGGGGAAAGAACAGAGAGGGCAGGGGTGGGCTAGAGGAATCTGCTCCCATAGACGTGGGGAGGGGGCTGTTCCCGGGTGTAGGAATCAGCTGGGAGGAGGCTGGGACCTGGGGCAATGCTGGGTCTTCACGTAGTTGCCCCTACCCTGGGCTCACCTCCTATCAGAGTCCTCCGCAGAGATGGCGACGCCCACTTGCACTCCCTGGGGTTTTCCTGTAATGCCCAGAACCAGCGGCTTCTTCATGCCTGACACGGTGCAAGGGAGGGCCAGGTCGGTCAGCTTGTCCTGGAATAAAGCGCATCGGGGACACATCACCACAGGTAAGTCCCAGGCCTGGGCCTCAGGCCTTCTCCAGCACGGGTACCTGCTGTGAGGGGTGCTTAGCATGAAGGCCTTGACTTCTGCCCTGGCTTCTCTCTGCGGAGGGCTCCCCAGTCCCTCGGAGAGCCACCAGCCACGGGCCCCACCCATCGGCCAGACACTGTCCCAGGAGGCCCTGCCCCTTCCTCAGGGCTCCTATCTGTACCTACTCTGAATATCTGGGTATGCCCGCCGGAAAGGAGACCCGCGAGGTGGGCCTCTGGAGAAGCTGCACATTTACTCTGATGAAGCTGCTAGCACAGAAGCCAGGTGCTCCCTGAGTGAGGTCTGCTCCGTGCCAGGCTTGGGCCCACCTGTCTGTCACCTTAGAGCTCAGGCTCAGTGTAAGGAAGCCTACGGTCCCCATGTTTGCCAGAAAGGACCTAGGACCTGGGTTTGCAAGTCTCTGAAGGAAGAAGTTTCTTCTTCTTGCGCCACCCTGCTGGCCTTCCTGTGGGCCAGGCCTCGGAGAAGCTGTGCCCTTCTGAGGAGGCACCTGGGTGCCCATCCCCCCCCCAGCAGTGCCCAGCACGGGGCCAGCTGTGAGCAGCAGCTCTGCTCTGGATCTCTGCGCAAACTGGAAAGGAGGGCCTGCCTGTGGTCACAGAGCATGGCCCAGGGACGGCAGAACGTGGTGCTGAAGGCTCGACGTGGCCAGTGGGCCCCAGGGCACATGCACTTCAGGCCCACTCCAGGCTCTCTGGCCTGGTGTCCCCAAGAACAGACCCACAGCAATGGGGGACCCAGACTCAAACACGGCAAACCCCTCCCCCACAAAAACCAGGGGTGGCAGGGCACAGGCAGAAAGGTGCAGGTGTCATCTCAGCCCTTGGCCACCTCACGCCCCTGCTCACCTGGGTGAGAGCAGTCAGCTCCAGACTAAGCTGCAGCTCCTCACCAGGGCTCAGTGTGCCCCGTCTGGGGCAGACCTTTGCTCTGCAGAAGCTTGCTTGGAGCCCCAGGAGCTGGCAGACACAAAGGGGAGGTGATGTCACGTGCTGGACTCCCAGGATGCACCAGGGGTCCAGACAGAGTGCCCTGCACCACTGCACGCTCTGCAGGAGGCTGGCAGGCTGGGGCCCGCAGCAGGACCAGGAGGGCCGGACGCTCGCTGGTGGGGATAGACCACAGGTCCCTTCTCTTCTCCTTCCCCACCCTAAATGGACCTCACATCTGTCAAGGGTTGCCTGGGCTACAGAAGCTGCTCTGGGGGGGCCAGATGATGGGGAGCAGAGGGCAGCTGCTTCTGATGCACAGTGATGTGGCCCCCTGACACGGTGTGCAGATCAGGCTCCCGGCAGCCCCACGGACAGTGCCTCAGCTGGACTGCCAGCAGCTGTGCGGACCAGTCACGGGCTGGGAGGTCCAGCTGCGTGCACCTGAGGCTCCCTCTCAGACAGGGACCTGGAATTCCCTGGAGGCAGGCCAAGGAAAAGTCAGGAAGACGTGCAGCTCCTTTGAGGGGCCCAGCTTTTTGGGGCACTGTCGGGCAAAGGCCAGGTTGTGGAAGGGAGGCTGAGCATTTGTTCTGGGGACTCCTGAGGGGCAACATCCCCCCCACCTGGGCCTCGGGTGCCAAGGGCAGGCTTGCTCACCTTGCCCCAGTGGAAGCTCGTGGGCAGGAGCGTGCCGTTGATGAGTGTGACGGGTACTGTCGTGGGCACACCTTGGTAGAGGCTGCTGACCTCTACATGGCTGCTCTGAAGGTACACGTAGGGCTCCTGGACCTCGGCATACACAGGGAGGTAGCTGGGGCCCAAGGAAAGAGAAGGCACGGTGACCAGAAGACATAAAACTGTCCCTATTTGACATAAAACTGATCGTCTATGTAGAAAGTCCCAAGGAATCTATTTTTTAAAAAGTCCTAGAAGTAATGAGGCAGCCAAGTAACAGGTGTGAAATCAACATGTACAGCTCCATGCGAACAGCGGACATGTGGAGACTGAAATCAGAAATGCAATGCCAGGGGTAATTGCTCCCCCAATGGAACTGCTTAGGTGTAAATCTGACCAAACATGTGCAGGACTTGGGTGCTGACAAGGAAAAGGCCCTGATGAAAGACCCCGAAGGCGACTTAACAAATGGGGCGGGGGCCGCGCTGCGTTCACGGACCGGCAGGGCCATTGCAGGAAAGGTGCCACTTCCCCCCAAGTTGGTCCACAGGTTTCGCACAATTTGTGCCAAACTCCCAGCCATGATTTTGTGGATACAAACAAGCTGATGATTGCATTTGTATGGAAAGACAAAGACTCAGAATGACTGACACAACTTTTTAAAAGCAGAACACCACCGCACAGGATGTCAAGACTCGCTCTCTGCCTGCAGTCAGCAGGACAGGGCGCTGGGGGTGGAGGGGCGCGAGCCCGGGCCATGCAAACATACAGAAAACCTGGAAACAGACCCAGACCAACACGTTGGGGTTTCTTTTTGTGTGATGAGTGGAGAACAATGCAAGAGTGTGCAAAAAGATTGAAAACGAGCATTCAAATGTTTTCATAATGAAATACGAAATACATGTGGAGATGCCTGTAAAACAGCCAGTGTAAAGACATTCAGTTTAGCAAATGACAGTAAAAAGAACAGCCGTGAGCCCTGGCTGGTGTAGCTCAGTGGATTGAGCGCGAGCCTGCGAACCAGAGTATTGCGGTTCAATTCCCAGTCAGGGTACATGCCTGGGTTGCAGGCCAGTTCCCAGCAGGGGACGCACGACAGGCAAACATACATGGATATTTCTCTCCTTCTCTCTTTCCCTTTCCCTCTAAAGATAAATAAAATTTAAAAAAATAAAATAAAATACTTATTAAAAAAAAAAAAAGAACAGCTGTGCACCACTGCTGATCAACTTATTCCGGAATATTCCCACCAGCCGGCCTAAGAAAACCAACCACAGGCTTCAAAATAATTTGGGGGGGGGGTGGTGGGGAGGAGCGGATGAGGGTGTGGACAACACAGTATTTGTGGTGACTTGATAATGACTGAAGGTAGGTGATGGGCACGTGAGGCTGATTTTTACAACTGTGCTTTTTAAAATCCTCACCCGAGGATATGTTTATTAATTTTAGATAGAGAAGGGAGAGAGAGAGAGAAACATCTATGTGAGAGAGAAACATCGGTCAGTTGCCTCCTGTACATGGCTGGAATGGGGATCGAACCTGCAACCTTTTGGTGTACAGGCCAGTGCTCCACCAACCAAGCCACCCGGCCAGGGCTGATTCTATTTTCATACATTTTAGGAAATTTCTGAAAGGAAGGAAGGGAGGGAGGGAGGGAGGGAGAGAGGGAGGGAGGGCACATCACTAATAAGTTGTGAAGTAACTTCAGTGTGCGGTAACAGCATTCACTCATTGGGACACGCCACGACTGCTTTGTGTCTGTCCCCCAGTTGAGTGTTGACTGTCTCCGGTTTGTCACTACTGCGAACAGCCCGGCTTTGGGGACTGCCACATGAGCACACGGCTGCCGCTGCATGTGGGTAGCATCCTCAGGGGGTTAATCTAGAAGGGCTCGTGCTGGGTCACGGAGTATGTGCAAAGTTTACCTTCTACCTTCTATAATTTCCAAATTTTATAGGATAAGCATGTGTTAACACCTTTACATTCTGAAATGCCTACGGAGAAATACTTAATCACACGTAATATATGTAAACACGCTGGGAACACGCAGAAATCGCGCTGTGAGGGCTCCCCTGCCTGCTTACCTCCAGGGCCCGTTCGCCACCTCCAGCACCAGCACGGTCTGCAGACACTGGCACTGCCGCGCCTCCAAGGTGACATCCACTCTGCACTGCCCCAGAGGGTGGACCTGGCCGCTGGAAGGCTCGAGGTTGAAAGGAGACACCTGATTGGGAGCCAACCCAGAAGGATGAGGAGTGTGGACGCTTGGAACTGCAGGACTTTGGGGGCTGGCCCTGCCCAACAAGGACCACCCGCAGGCTGCCCCCAGCTCTTCGGAGAGCCATGTGGAGTCCGGAAGGAGGCAAGCAGGTGGGGAGCACCGCGGTGAAAGCGTCTGGGGAACCAGAGACAGAAACTGAGTCTCCGAGGGGGAGGGCCCCATGCACTAGCCAAGACAAGAGAGGAAACATGCTGGGGGTGTGAGGACCATGCGGTGGCTCTGAGGGACCCACCCAGCTGCACCGAGCAGGTATGGAGCAACACCCTGATGGCTTCAAGTAAGGAAAGCCACCAAGTCACCAAACTGGGGGAGAGGTGAAACTTTCATGTAGCCCCAGATTTCAAACCCTGTGGCAGGCAGGTCCACCGCCTCCCGGCACAGACGAAGGGGGAGCAGAAGGGAAGAGGAACATGAGTGTACCTGGGAAGGGCTCTCCATCCCCAATTTTCTGTCCTTGACTGATTGAGAGGCCCCATGGCCCCCAAGGGGCCACACTGGCTAGTAGGGTGTCACTGGACATCGAAAGATCACACCCAGGAGGGAGGTTTGTCCTCCTTGGTCTCGTCTTTCCATGAGGTCCAGACAGTGAGTACAAGGCGCCCGCCGGGAGGGCAGCCTGTTCACCTGACCCCAGTCTGGCCTGCACAGCCCCCTCTCCCTCCTTCCCTCTCAGGCGGCCACGCTGTGCTGTCTGGGCCCTGTGCTCCTCTGCTTCGGAAGCTTCACTCTGCCACTGATGGAAGGTTGTGGGCTGGCCATTACTACTGGCTGCTGAGGCCTAACTCACAGTGTCCTGCGGGCCCTGGCTGGAGTCTGGGGCCTGAGCTCCACAGCTGAGGACAGAGCCCCTCTGCTTCTCGGCCTGTGTTCCTCACACGCCCCTCCCTGGGAGCCCTGGGGGTGCGGCTGTACCTCTGGGGCTGGGTCTCTGGGTCTCCTGCCCTGAGCACATCAAACCAACCCCAAATCTCAACATTACTTTTAAGAGCTCAAACGAACAAAATGCAGAGAACTATAGAGACAGGATTCCTACAAGCCTCGGTTACTTAATATACTATAAACTGACCATTATTTCCATTCTAAAATGTAGTTACTCTTCTCAGTGGGAGAAAAACACTGGCTGGGAGTTAGAGAACCAGGATCCCCTAGGATTCCAACCACCCATCAGCCGTGTGGCCGTGTCCCTCTTTGTCTATCAAGTCAGGGTTCACTTGTGACTGTGGTTCACAAGTTTCCAGCAGTGGCTGGTAAAACCCCAGGGAGTCTGCAGAAGTGGGGAGAGGAAGGATGGGGTAGGGGCTGCCTGACAAAGGGGTCTCTGGGTAGCCAGAGAAGTCATGCTTCATTCTAGACCTGGAGCTTCTGTGTAAGGATCCCTGTCCTGTGGACCGACACTAGCCTGCTCCCTATCCCAGTCTCAGGCTCCTGTGGTTTCCAGTCCAAGCGGGGACACCAGTGAGCTGGGGGTGGGGTGGTGGGTATATTAACTCCAAGCCTGCGTAACAGGGCACTTGGAAATGGAGTTGTGATTCGACGCCAATGTCACAGCTTCCCAGTTTCAGAGTGCCTGTCTAGAGAAGTAAGGCCATCAGGTGAGGGGGAGCGGCTTTAGAATGGAGAGAAGCCCCGGAGAAGGGGACACATGTTAGTAGACACCATGCACGTGAGGCTGTCTTTCCCCGGCTTCTGAATGTGGGAGAGTTGTGCAGCGTCCTGACCTGGAGGGCAAGTGGACATGCAAGATGGAGCCCTTGGGAGGAAGCAGTCAGAGGGGGCACTTTTACCAAGCGCACCTGGCCAGAGGCTCACAGGTGCAGCGACAGACTAAGAAAGCCCTCAGGGATCCGAGGCCACCAAGTGCGAGCAATGGGGGTGGCTAGTCGGTGATTTACAGCTGCTGGCCAGTAACCGATGCACTGTGACTTGGTCTTCTTCTGGATTGTACATCACATATTCAAATGTGACATCACGATTTAAATGTGCGGATGATAATACGTAGCCACTTTTGGTGTTTTCTTATTTTATAGTAAAAAGAAAGATGCTATTTGAGTGGAAATGAATCTTGGGTTTTCTTTTCGGAGCCCTTGGGTTTGGGCTGGAGCCCAGGCCCAAGCACCACCTGGTGGCAGGCACGCACACTGCAGGCACAATCCTGCGCAAGTTCTGCAGGGAACTTGGGGTGAGGTCGCCCAGCCTGTCCCCCCCTGGAGGCCTTGGAAGCTTCCAGAGCAGCTCGGCTGCCTGTTTTCTTCCTGACTCAGGCTGCTCTGACAGAGAGAGACCTATGTCCAATTTCTGCACTAGACAGTGGGGAAAGTAACAGGAAAATCCAGTTTGGGGTTAAGTTCTGCTGTAAAAAGGCTCTAGCAGCCTCAGCGATGGGGGGAACTGGGGACACTGTCAGGCAAATGTCACCAGGCAGGCTTTTCTCTCCCAGTCTCAACCCTCTGAGTGCCCCAGCAGAAGAGTCACAGTGCAAGCCCGACACAGGTACATCCGCCCCTGGGGGGCGGGGGGCCCCGTGGGAGTCGGCAGTGCCCACTTACAGTCTCGTGCCTTTCCTCCAGGCAGACGGGGCTCTCCTTCAGGCACCACACGGCGGGGAGCGGGCTGGTGTTCTGGATCTGGATGGTGTTTGTGGCTTTCTGCCCCAGGCGCAGCAAACCAAACTGAAGGGCTGAGACGTCAATGACGAGGGCAGGCCCCTGAGACAGCAGAGGGCATGGTCGCCAGGCCACCAGGATGTGGTCCCTGGGCCCTACCCCTGCCACCTGCTGGGCCCACCCGGCGGCACCTTAAATGTCGCTTCGATGTGCAGCACCACTGGCGAGGGCGAGTATCTGATGTCACACTGCAGGTCCTGGCTTGTTGGGCCGGGGACACCCCCTGTAAACTTCAACTCAAAATCCTCGACTTCACTGGACTCTGAAAGGGAGGGGAGAGAGGTGGAGGAAAGCAGGGGAAGGTTCCTTCTGAGGCTGGGCCTGAGCATCTGGCCTGCGCTGACTTCTCGTCCGCGTGTGCCAGGCTGCAGCCGGAGCGGATCGCAGGACACCATGAACCCCTGCCCAGGCCTTCCGCCCTGCAGGGTCCTGCTCCAGCCAGCTCCGGGCAGGTCACCACCCCTCCCGCAGTCCCGGCAGTACCGATGGTGCCTGAGCAGGGCTCCACTTCGATGATGTGGCAGTCGCTGATCTTCTCCCACGTGTATCTGATGCAGGACTTGCTGTTGTTCCACATCTGAAAGACACGCCCAAACATCAAATCTGTGCCTGTGGAAGTCCCACAAAAGGTCCTCTCGACGCCCTCCTGGCCAATTCCTGGCCATCTAACCGCACCAATGCCACACTGCAGGGCTGTGGGCGCAGGAGCTGGCCACAAGCCCATGAACGTGGCAATGGGCGCCTCAGCCCTGTCACTCGGAGGGGGCGGGGCGGCTGACAAAACGACAGGCACACCCAGCCCAGCCTCTGTGAGCACCATGTTGGTTCAGGGGACTCGCCCTCTGTCGAGCGGCCGCCATCCACCCCTCCAGCCACGTTCTCCTTACACCTGTGCCCGAGTTCGGCACCATCTTGGCCAGCCTAGGCTGGGGCGAGACAGTGACCCACCTTAAAGTCCTTCTTCACACTGATGCCAATGTAGTTCTCCCCAGGGATGATGAGGGCATACGGTTCTAAGAGAACCTGGAAAGGTTCTCCTGAGCCTTTCACCTCGATTTCCAGGACGATCACATCATCCACGGTGTTGGAAAAGATTTCTGGGTCTGAACTGAACACAGACCTGCCATGAGCCAGGAGCCAACACAGCCTGGAACCTGGCCCTACGTGGCCCTCACTTTTGTCCCATGTCTTTGGTCTTGTGGAAAGAAAACGCTCCCCTATGCACAAGCCCAAGCCCCTGAAATCAGACGCATCAGTCAAAACCCCGGAATAGCAATGAGCACTTGCGGCTGCGACAGTGGCTCAGCCTAAGACTGGGACGGGCCACCTCCCCGGCTGCCTCTGAGACCTCAGTGCAGCACCCAGCCGGGGACCGCTGCAGGATGCCGACTGCAGATCCACCCTGACCGCAGCTTCCATTGGAGCTGGTAGCAATGCCCACCACGGGACAAAACTTTCCTTAATTTTTACCACCAGGGGCCACCATGTCCTGGTGCTGACAATGAGCCTGGGGCAGAGCTCTAGGGTTCCAGGGCGCCTGAGCTCTCCCAGTGAGCCCAGCAGGCTCTGTCCCTTGCATGCTAAGCCCACACCAGGCCTGCGCACTGATGCCTCCTGGGGTCAGGTGGCTCCTCCATCCCTTCCTGATGCCTCCCCTCGAGTCCCCATGGGGAAGGCAGCCCCCACCCCTTGTCCAGGGTCCAGTCTCTGCTCACCTCATGGGCTCGGGGACTTCCTCTAGCACCAGCTGGAGCACACTGTGAAAGTCCTTCAGCTGCAAGACAAACACAGAGCCCTGAGAACAAACTGCATTCCAGCCAGGCTGCCCTGAGAAAGGCCCGACAAGTGCAGCTTCCCCGCCACATCTCCCCACCACCGAGGGAAGATGGGGCAGCTGCCAGACCCGAGTGGCGTGCCTCCCTCAGCTGGGCCGGGGGACAGGAAGGCAAGGCTCTCCTGACCCCAACGTTGCCCTTAAGGTGTCACAGGCACCACACGGTCCCAGGATAGGCAGTGAGGTGGCTGGATGTGGGGTGAGAGGCAGACCCTTCGCTCACCAGCCGGGCCCGTTTGCCCCCAGCTCTCATGCCTTCTCACCCGGGAGCAGTTAACTTTGCCCTCAGGAGCCTGTGCCTCACTCTCTCTGGGGGTCGCTGTGGCCAGACAAGGACAGGAATGTCCTTGATGTAGCAGAACTATGGAAGAACCCAGAACTGCGGGGCGGAGCGGCAGGGCTGGCTGCAGACGAGGTGTGTGCGGGATCAGGACCAGGCCAAACTCACGTCCTGACCTGAGGCCAGCACCTCCTCCTGCCCCGCCCAACTAAGTGTCAGCCTTGCTGGAAGCTGGGCAGCTGGTCTGGCCCAGCAGTGGCCTCGGTGTCACTGAAGAACATGCCCAGAGGGTGAAACTATCGTGACCCAATCCGGTGTGACTCCCAAGATGGCACCATCTCAACCTTGTGAGGAGAGAAGCTCAGGATGAACTTGTGGTCTGCGTGGGGGCTGAGCAAGCCCCTCTCGGGTGCGACAGAGAAGGCAGTCCCCTTGTCAGGGTGGTACTGGACGCTGTCCAGGCCGTAGGTCTCTCCGGGCATTAGGAACTTCAGGTTGGGCTTCATGATCTGCCAGTGGAAGGCCAGCGCCACGTGCCTGCGAGGACAACATTGACCGAGGATCCAAGGTCATGGCCCAGACCTGGGAAGACCAGGTCTTCTGGTCCCCTGCCTGGTCGGGCCCTCTTCTGGGAGGGACCAGAAAAGGACCCAAAGGCAGGAAGTGGCCGGGCCAGCCTTCAGGCCCTTCCCATGGAGGATCCTGGGAGGGGACATCGCCTGGGTCAGGGAGTCCCAGCTGAGACCGCCTAAGAGAGCCCTAATGCTCTCCACCCGCAACAGCTGGAGGCTAGGGCCACAGTGACTGGGGGGAATGGTGAATACAGGGGTCACGCTCCAACCCCTACCCCGCAAGGCCCTGGGCTCCCCAGGCCCCAGGCAAGCGTTCTGCAGTGCCTGCTGCCACACGAGAGTTGCCACGTTGACCCCCCATCCCTGCCCACCACCTCTCTGGCTATGGCCTCCCAGGGCCTCTCTGGCCAGAAAGATAGGTGCCCACTGGCTAGCAGCGGTGACGACTCCATGGGAGGGGCAGGGGCAGGGCTCCAGGTGTGCTGCTGACGGCAGCTGTCAGCGGGGAGCGTGGCCCCTCGGCCAGGTGACAGATGCCTGCGTGAGGCCTGGGGTCACCAGCCTGGCCTGGCTGGAGGGCTCATGAGGTCTGTCCTGGCATCAGGGTGGCGCTCGGAGGACGATCGGGAAGTAAATGGCAGTGAGGACTGAACCCGCAGGCCAGTCTGTCTAACCTTGGGACGAGGCTGGCTTCCCCTCACAGGTGGGACAGGAGCTCTTGGGAACACTGTTCCTGGCTAAGGGTGGTCCGGGATGACCTAGAACAGTTCTGTCACTGGGGCAATGGGAATATCATGGCCACTGGCTACATGTGCGGTTTGTGAGTACCGACAATGTGGCTGGTGCCACTGAGGAAGTGAGTTTCAAATTTCATTTTAATTGGTTTCCATTGAAACAGCCACATGTGGCCAGTGGCTACCGTGGTGGACAGTGCAAATCTGGATCCTTCCATCCTGTGCCCAGGCTCCTCCCCGGCCCTTGGAAGCAGCCTGCTGCCTCGCTGGGAACTCGCCCAGGTGAGGAAGGAGAAGGGCCGTGTGTCGGGGGCTGCCGGGTAGGGGGCCACTCACGTAGCGTTTCTAACAATCAGCTGTCTCCTCGCCGTGGACTGAAGGTTTTCAGGTGCGAAGCGGATGAAGTACTGGGCTGTTAAGTCTGTGAGCTCCCCAGGCTCTGGCTGACTCTTCTCACCAGAAATATGGATCAAATCCAAAGCAACCAGCTGCCCAACTCCTGACAAAAAAGGATAATGAGGTTTCACTGGGGCTGAAATCAGGGCTCTCTGGCCAAAGGCTATTGCAGACATCAAGCTACCATCTGCATACAACTTCCTCAGATCCCTGGAATTGTACACAAGAGGAGAACTGGGGGTCAGTGACACAGAGATCCTTGTCCCCACATCTTCACCCCAAAGGAGGTGATTCTGATAACCCAGCTCATAGTGGGCGCTCACCAATGCTTGCTGAAACTGGATGGATGGATGGATGGAGGGAGGGAGGGAGGGAGGGAAGAAAGCGAGGGTAGAAAGGAAGGAAGGAAAAAAGACGGATGGAAGGAAAAGAAGAAGGAAGGAACAAGGAACAATCTTGAAGAAATTCAGCAGGGAGCCCCTCTAACTGTACAGAAACCTTAGAGGTGCATCTGGTTGTTTATGTGAGAGTCGCTGGCAATTCCCCAAAAGGAGATCAAGGTGAGTTTCAAAGTAAAATGTGAAAGATTTCACTCCAGGTTTCCATCTGTCTCTCACGAAAAGGCTCCTTGGGACTGGCCTGGGTCTCCAAGACCAGAGGGAGAGGCTCTGAACTAGACCCTGGTACACGGAGGCTGCAGCCTCCCCTCAAAGTGCACCGTGATGCCGGTGCCGGGCAGCAGCTGGTGGAGCCCAGTGACCCACGCCGCCCCACCCCCGGCGCGCACGCAAGCCCACCTGAGGTCACCAGCTCCTGTATCTGGCAGTTGTCACACGTGATGATGAAGGTCTGCTCCACCTCTCCCAGGCTCGTCGGGAGAAACAAGACCTGGGGGACAGGAGGCTGCCCATTCAGGGGTCTCCCTTCTCAGACACGCACCCTGTCTTTGCACTCCACTTCTTGCTCCCCTCCCTGCCGGCTCCCCACCTTCTATCTGAGGCCTGGGGTCTCAGCCGCTGCCCCACCCCAGAGAAGTGCAGGGAGCGTGTCGAGAGGATATGAAAAGAAAGCTCACAGCGACCAACACACAAATGACAGACAACATGTTAAACCTCACTCACAACAAAAGAAATGGATGTGGACGCCACCCAGAAGAACAGGTTCCCACTCCTTATAGTGGCAAAGAGTCTGCAGAAAGTGCTTGGAAATGCAATGATATGGTGTTTTGATTTTCTTAAAAAAGTCTAGAGGGGTGGGGTGGGGATCGGGTGGGAGAGACAGGGGCGTGTAGCGGCAGTCGAGCTGGCTGGGAGCACAGAGAGGTGGAGGCGGGACCGTTCAACTCTTCTGTTCTTGCAGCATTAACATGATCACCGGGATGAACGCGAAAGTCAGACTGCAGTGTGCCTCAGAGACTTGGGTGGAAATCTGTGGGATTAATGCTTCGCTGCTGTCCCCTTGGGTATGGAATCGTCAACCTCTCTGTCTCTATTATCTTTCTCTATTTTTCTGTTAGAAACGTAAAGGGGCTAAAATATAATTTAAATAAGCTAAAAAAAACCCTCTTCCATTCTTGCGTAAGTTCAAAAATGTCCGAGATGACAGTTAAAAAGAAGTGAGACAGCACATTGTACTGGCAAGAGTCCGAGGAAGCAGGCAACTGCACCTGCTGCTTTTGTTTTTTTGTCTTTTCAAAGAGAGGGAGAAAAACATCAATGCATGGTAACCCCTCAAGTGGCCCCCACTGGGGACCTGACCCACAACCCAGGCATGTGCCCTGCCTGGGAATCGAACCAGGTTCACAGCCCGCACTCAGCCCACTGAGCTACACCAGCCAGGCTCCACATGCTGTTGTTGGAAGTATAACTGCTGTGATCCACACGGGGTGGGGGGCAGGGGCAGTGACTGGGGACATGTGTCACAGTTGGGAGCAGAGACCCTGAGCCTGCACTTCCACTTCCAGCACCGTATCCTGCAGACGGATTCATACTTGAACAGACCGATGCTATGTAAAGGTCATTGGCAAAAATAGCCAGAGGTCAGGAAAAAAACCTTCATGGCCACCAGCAGGGAACAGGTGAACTAAATCACGGTTCATTCATACAGTGGGATACTATGCAGCTGTAAAAACAGAATGATTCTGAGCTGCACCATTAAGTAGAAAACACACCGAACAGGACAGAGGCTGGAACGGGCAGCCATCTGTTCGCGGGAAAATGGAAACAGGAAGGACAGCACACACACGCACGTGCTTATTGAGGCGTCACATGTCTCACACACACACGTGCTTATTGAGGCGTCATGTGTCTCACACACACACACACATGGGCTTATTGAGGCGTCACGTGTCTCTGGCAGGGCACCCAGAAACCTGGTGCGGTTGCGGCCTCTGGGTGGCTGCAGAAATGGGGTGATAGGGTGCACTGCACTCTTTATCTATTTACACCTTTGATTTTTTCAGCGTAAGTTTACTTCTTTGGAAATATGAATGAATTTTAAGATAAAAAACCCAAACGACCAGTTTGCACCGGGGGAAACCTCCCCCCCCGACTTCCTCACTGACCCCCACAGACTCCTGCTGCCCCCACTTTCCTTGGGGACCCCAGGAAGGTGGGCCGAGGAGGACGTCCTGGCCTGATCAGCGGGAGCGGGCCCAATTCCCCGAAACCACCACAAGGCTCTCACAAGGCCTGGGCCACACCAAGAGGACCCAACCTGCCCGTCAGCCATAGATAGGACTGATGACGCCCTACTGTGCCCTTGAGTTGGCCCTGTCCCAACCCCGAGAGCCAGGTTCACACGGGGGACTCAGCTCGGCACAGACAGGAACGAGCCGGCACTGCCCTGGCTCCAGAACAAGAAGTCAGCCATAGGGCACGTGAACCTGGAAGGCGGCTGACAAAGGAAGCCTCCGCCGCACCAGGGCAAAGGAGCTTAGGGCACTGGTCCTCAAACTTTGCTGCCCACCACAACCACCTGGAGAGCTTTAAAAGTCCAGTGCCCGGGCCACACCCCAGACCAAGGAACTGAGGACCCCGGGTCAGGGGCCCAGACTGCGTGTGTTCACAGGTTTCTCATGGGGTTGCGAAGGGCAGCCAGTCTGAGAAGCTACAGCTCTCGGCTCTCACTACCCAAGGACGTGGTGCCCGCAACCCCTGCCCCAGAGGCCAGACAGCTTTTGCTCCTGGACTTCGGTGGGAGGCCACACGTGGGGGATGACCCTACAGCCGGCCACGTAGCAGCACAGAATCAGACTCCCAGGGAGCCAGAGAGGGTGACAGGGCCGGGAAGACAGCACCGTTTCTCAAAGGCTCTTTTGGGGACCACTGAGAGGGGCGGTTCAGAATGGAGAAGCCCGCAGTAGGTGGGGTCAGACTCAGCTCCCGCCTGCCTGTGTGGTTGGGAGGAAGGCCTGAGGGAGGCGAGCCTGGGGGCAGGGGACTCTGTAACTGAGTATTGAACAGGAAAGAGAGACTGGGGTGGGGGAGGGGTGTCCCAGAGAGACTGGAGAACCAAGGGAAGATCCCACAAGCAGCTTAGGTGCTGGTGAATGCCTCCCAGGCTGCCAGTGTGGACAGGCAACGCTCAGGAATCACGGTGGAAATGCCAGGGCTTTCTGCACTTGCTTTGTGAGATAGGCGGTAGGAGAGTCAAATGACATCATTGCACAACACAAGAACATGTGCCTACAGAGAAACCACTAAGGCCGGGACCCAGGATGGAAGTGGACAGGTGGGTCATGAGAACACAGAAGCAGTGAAGTCATGCAAGCAGTTGAGGAAAGAGCCATGGCCAGTCCCTGAGGAGGAGGAAGCGTATGCCCACGTCTAATTACCTACCTCCACTGGTACGGCCTGCCCCGGAGCCAGCTCAAACACCGAGGGCATGATCCCAAAGGGAGGTTGCTCAACAAAGCCAGTGGTTGCAATAGCCTTAAAGAGAAGCAGCAGATTACACAACAGTGTGGAAGGAACTGTCAAACCCAGTGCTCAGATGACACACGTTTCTCCTCCCAACATTGGTTTTGCAATGTGAAGGATCTTAAGAATCATCCCGTCCCCTGTGAATGAAGAAATTGAGGCTCATTCATTCAGTAAGCATCTACTCAACCTTCACTAGGCACGGAGATGAGGTTCTGAAGATTGGAGGAAGCTGCAGAACATCCGTAAAGAGCTGGCTAGTGATGGGAGGTACCAGGTTTCATGGGCCAGTGTTTCAGGCACAAAGCGGGAGGCACCAGAGAAGGCCTCACGCAGGAGGTCAGTTCCCAGCCCTTAGTCTTCTCCCTCCTACAGCACTCTACATGGCAGGCACCCGCCTCCGTCCTGATCCACCTGTGTCTACATGCTCCTGACTCATGAGGGCAGCTGCCACCTCGTCAGCACAGCTGCAGCCCAGGTGCCCACACAGGAAGCCACGTAGCATGCCAGGGACACAAACCCATGCCTACTGGAGCCTGGCAGGCAAGAGAAATGAGGGAAACATGTCTTTTGGAACATAGGGTCCTGGAGATCTGCCACTTGTTTTCCGGGGACACGGGCACAGAAAACTAGCCTTACTGCCGGGGAGACCTCGGTGGGAGCAGGATGCTGAGTGGTATGGGTGCCAACTGCTGTGGGGACAGGTGCAGCCGGGCAGCAGGAGAGAGGGTACACGGGTCCCACTTCCCACGCCAACCCACAGAGCCACCATGAATCCTGGCCCCAGGCCACACATCTTCTAAGTTTTCCAAAGACACTGGAAATGCAGACTTTGATGAGAAATCTCCCGGAGATATGTAAACATTGGCTCAAAAAGTGTTTTTCAGCACTGCGCCCACTAAATGTGCCCCCAGAATTCAGCCAAAGAGCTGCCAATTTGTGGCCTCTGATAGACTCAAACATCTGCTGCCACAGTGACTGAGTAAATAAACACTGTGATGGTGAGCCTGGCCTCGAAGGATGAAGGAGGTGACACAAAGTGCCCAGGGTTACCCGCATGTTAGTGGCAAAACCAGAGCTACAGCGCCCCTCTCCTTCCAGACTGATTCTCACTTGGATCGGCTGGCTAGAGAGGTCACAAAAGTCTGTTTTTGGTGCGTTTCCAACCCCAGGTGCCCCCTGGCCAGTCCCCACCAGGGGCGATTTCCTTCGGTGGATTTGCTCTTTCTTCAGGCGGCCATCGGGGCTCACTCACCCTGAAGCTCGGCGGTGGCCAGCTCTTCTTAGGCATGACACAGAACTTGCCAGCACTGAAGCCCACGTTTTTGCAGAGGAATCTGCTCGCCTTCATTCCCCCAACGAGGCAGTAACCACAGTCCAACACCGGCGGCACTGCAGCCACGAGGGAGACGCACAGGCAGGGCCCGTCACTGTGAATGGTCTCTGCTGTGGCTGTTCCCCCGAGGGCCGGCCAGAGCTCTCTGCAGGGGCCCCTACCCAGCACCCCGCTAGGAGAGGACGAATGGGGACGTGCCCTGCCCCCTGCCTCCAACTCCTGGCCTGAGCAGCAGGACAAGGCACCCACAGTTTACTCGGGCCTCAGGCAGGGCCTCTGGGCACAGTTCTGGGGGCTGTGGTCACAGTCCCTACTTCCAGGCTGCGCCCAGCTGAAGAGGTTGGTAAGTGAGGGGGCCCAGCCAAGGTCAGCCTTGTCAAAGAAGCTCCCTGCCACAGCCCACACAGGCAACACCCCCTGAAGGCTCCGGGCACCCCTGCCCTGACTCTGTGTGGCACAGGCCCACACAGGGGTGTCCACGAGCCAGCGATCTCTGTGCTGGGTGAGCTGGGCTGTGGGCCTCCTCTCTGCTGTGGTCACTGTTAGCCTCCACCCGCAAGTAGGACAATCAGGGCCTGATACTGGAAGACTGTGTAGACTCTGCTGGCAGGTTCCTGCCGGGGACCCAGGAGCCCCTGCCAAGCCGCATGCTGCCGCAAAGGGCCCAGAAAGCCAGCAGCACTTCCGGGGACTCGCCAACCCTAAGGGAATCCCCGGGAGGGCAGGGCATGCACTCACGCGTGAGCACCGGGGGCGGCCTCCGGGCCTGCAGCGGGATGAGGAGGCTGTGGGAGGACTGGGTCTCCACCAAGATGAAGTCATCGAAATCCCCCAGGCAGTCGGGGCAAAACTGGACAATGTACTGGCAGGTCATTCCAGGAGCCACCATTCCACCTTTCCCTGGGAACATTCCTATGTGTGACCAAAGTGACAAATGAGGAGCTGGGGACCAGCCAGCCACCAGGGCTTGGGCTCCAGCGCCACAGATGTCAACCAGGGGGCACGAGCAGGCCCCCCCACAGTGGGGGCTGGCTCTGGGAGCCCATGCCTCTGGGCCCAGGCCCTGCCATCGGCAGAGCCGCCGGGGTGCACCAGGGGAGCAGGCTGCGAGGGCAGGGGCTGCAGGTAAAGACACCAGCGTGGGGGGGAGGGATACAGTCCATCCAAATGGTTAGGTGACGCCATGCCTGCCCCTATGGCTTGGAATTGATTCTGTGGGCAATGGAGAGTCATTTAAGTTTCTGAGCTGGGGTGACATGCTAAGCTGTTCTTGAGAAAAACACTGTGACATGGGACACCACTGTAATGGTTTACGTGATAGTGGGAAGGGTGAGGAAATGGCAGAACCAGGGCCTGGAGGAAGGTGGCCCAAGAGAGGAGCTGTGAGATGCCGAGACCTCACTGGCGGGAAGAGCAGGCAGGCCTCCCGCAGAGGGTGGGGGCCCCAGGAATTGCTGTGGGCCACAGGGGCATAGGCGGCGGGGTGGGGGAGGTCATCCAAGGACCAGGTGGACCAGGAGCTGGGGGCAGGCCCTGAGGCAGTCCACCCGACAGCCACGCCGAGCTCACCCAATCCCAGAGAGAAGTAGGGCGTGGAGGGCGGGATGACTCGCAGGTAGCGGCTGGTGGCAGTGGTGTTCTGCAGGGCGATGACCATCTGTCAAAGGCAAAGGTGACCCCTCTGAGATGGCAACGTGGACAGACGGACGACATGCGGTCTGGGACTGACCAAACAATACGGGGAGGGCAGGCGTATAGGTGAAATAAGCCTGGCCAGGTGTTGGGAGTTGTTGGGCTGAGTGATAGGCACAAGGGGACTCATTGTACTGGTCTCCCTACATTTGTCAAAAAAAAAAAAAAAATACAAAGTGAACAGGGAGGCAGAAATAGTCTGACTTATCCTGCCCTGTTTCAAGTAACAGACACCATTTATAAAGCCCCTGCCATGTGCCTGCTCAGCCTCACAATAACCAGGAAAGGTGGGGAACTATCTAGAGATAGTTCTGGAACTGAAGTCCAACGAGACTCCTAAGCTGGTAGGTAAGAGGCATGAGATTTGAGCCCAGGACACCTGGCTCCAAAGTTCTGCTCCCCCTGCCTCTTTCCCACTCTCTTCTTCCCCACGTGTCCCTTTGGGCCACTTCTTCCTGTGGGCCCAGGAGAGGGGCATCATGGCAGGGTTGTGACTGGCCCTCTCTCCTTCATTCAACCCGCCCAGCCCCATCAAGCTCTGCCTTCTCTTCACCCTCACTCAGGTTGGGAGACCCCTCAGGGCGAGGTCTAGAACTCACACAGGGCCCACCCCCACCGGCCCCCAGCTCAGAGCCTCACACGGACGAGGAGCTCAATACGCATGCCCATCTTTGCTTCTGTTTTGTGAGCTATTTATTACACTGGAAAGAACGTGCACATTGTAACAGGCCAGGAGCCGTGTTCCGTCGTCTGGCTTAGGAAATAAAACGGTAAAAATACCAACGAAGCCCTACCCCAGCCCCCACCCCCCACCGGGTGACAGCAACATAAATTTGAACTGTGTCTTCATAATTTTATTCATAGGCATGTATTCTGAAGTCGACATTTAAGTCCATTTTGGGCAGGACAGCATTGCACTAATCTGTCGGTGAAGCAGACCACGTGTGGAGAGACCCCTATTGTGGTTTAATTTTCATTCTGCTACTAATGACAATGAGCACCTTTTCATACGTTTATTTGCCATTTGGTTTTCTTCTTGTGTGAGTTGTCGGTTCATATCCTTTTACCAGTTTTCCATTTGTATATTCAATCTTTTTCTCATTAATTTGTAGGAGCTCATATATCCTGGGTACTAATGCTTTGTAAGGTATATGTTGTAAACACCTCCAACTTCAGAGCTTGTGTTATCTTCTGATGTCCAGACCTACGAGGGACTCTCATCGGTGTTGCCCCCATAAGTCCGCCTCTCCTAGAGCCTTGAGGCCCCTTCCAGCCGGGCTGGTTGCCTGCCTGCTGTTCACTGTCACCTGCAGCAGTTTTAAAACACGTCCACAAGTTATTGGACACCACTCCCCTTGAGAGGTGAAGTCTACCCATCCTCCTCTGGAATCCAGGCCAACCTGACTCACTTGTAACCTTTAATAAGCAGAGATAACCTACTTCCACGTGACCTCTGGAGGTTAGGTCATAAGAACTGATGCTCCCTCCCATTGAGTTGCTGGGGTCCTCACTTGGCTCTGACACTCACTTTCAGCTGCCATGCCCCAAGGTCACCGTTCTATGCAGAAGCCAAGGCCACCGTGGAGAAGCTGTGTCAGTGCTCTGGTACACACCCTCAGCTGCCCACTGACAACCAGCATGGACTACTCTGTGAGTGAAAGTGCCTCAGAAATTCTGGCCCCCAACTGTCCACTCACCCCCAGGCATGGACTCTCCCCAGCCACAGCCTCAGACGTGGTAGAACAAGCCACTCCCATTGGTGCCCTGCCTGGATTTCTGACCCACAGAAATCTGTACGCATGATGAAACGGTGGTTTTCAATTGTTTAGCTTTTAATAAACTAACTTGTTAACTTCAATAAGTTATTTGTAGGTTCATTTGGACTTTCTGGGTTCACAGTCATGTCAGCTGTGAACAGCTTTATTTTTGCACGTACCTTTTATTAGATTATGAGAGCTTTATTCTATTCCTAGCTTGGCAAGACTTCTTTAAAAAGCAGAAATGGGTGTTGAATTTTGTCTGCATCTATTGATAACTCAATGACCTCTGTCCCTTATTGTGTTAATGTGGGGAGTTATAACGATTGCTTTACAAATGTTTAATTTGCACCGCTAGATCAAACCGGCTCGGCTGGGACGTTTACCACTTTTATACAACTGAACTCAGTTTGCTAATTTTTTGCTGAGAAATTCTGTGCTGTTCGTGACTAAGGTTGGCTTTTCTTAAAATAACTCTTTTCAGGTTTTGGTATCAAGACTATGCTTGTCTCATACAACAAATCTGATTGTGTTAACCTTCCTTCCTGTTCTCTAGAGGAGTCTGTAAGAGATTGCTGCAGGTCTTCCTCATCTGCCAGAAAAAATCCACCAAGAAAGTCAGCAGGGCCCGAGGTCTTCCTTGCCGGAAGTTTTCTGTTTGTTTGTTTTGATTGCTGTTGTTGCTTTAGACAACAGAGATGGGCTGCACACGCCGCAGAGTTCGCCCCCTTACAGTGAGTGGCCCAGTGCGTTCTGTGAATTTGCACAGCTGTGCGGCCGTCAGCACGGTTTAATTTGGAAGCGTTGAGAGTTTGAAATTACAGATTCAGCACCATCCTAGGAAATGTTCAGATGTGCTATTTCTTCTTGTATCTATTCTGTAAGTTGTTTTTCCTGGAAAGTTGTCTATTTTGTCTACATTTTCAAATTTCTAGGCTTAAAGTTGTTCACAAACCTCTTGTCATCTTTCTAACGTTGGTCAGATCTGTAATGATGTTTTCTTTTCCTGAGATTAATAATTGGTATAGCTCTGGTCGGTGTGGCTCAGTTGGTTGGAACATTATCCTGTAACTGAAGGGTTGCAGGTTCGATTCCTGGTCAGGGCACATAACTGGGTTGCAGGTTCAATCCCTGGTCCTGGCACCTATGATCCTCAGTCTGAACGTGTGCAGGAGGTAACAGATCCATGCTTCTCTCTCACATCAATATTTCTCTCTCACTCTCCCTTCCTCTCTCTCTAAAAGCAATGAAATAGTGTCCTCAGGTGAGGATTAAAAAATTATAATTGGTACACTTTCTTTACTTTTTAATCAGTTTTCTCAGAGATTTATTTTTATCAGAGATTTATTAATTTTGTCAGAGATTATTAAAAATTTATTAATTTTAAAGAATTTTTGTCTTTGCTGATCCTACACTATATTTGTTTTGTAAGTCATTAAAATTTGTTGTTCTAATTATATCCTTCTTTCCAGTTTCCCTGGATTTAATTTGCTACTCTTTGCTAATCGTTGAGATGTATACCCAAACAACTGATTTTCAGACTATTTATTTTCTAATAATTAGTGAATGTAAGTCTATACATTTTCCTGTAAGCATGGCTTTGGCTGCATCCCACAAGCTTTGATGTGCCATTTTCAAATGATCATTATCATGTATTTTCTGAGTTCCATTATGGCTTCTTTGACTGATGGGTTTAGTAATGAACTGCTTAATTTCTAAATTTTTGTTACTGGCTTCTATATTCAGTCCACTGGATTCTAATTCTATATGCTTTCAATCCTTTGAAATTTGTTGATAATTGTTTATGAGCCAAAACTAGACAATTTCGGTAAATGTTTCATATGCACTTTCCAAGAAAATGTGTATTGCAATTGCTGGGAATAGTACAGAGTTATGTACTCAACTAGCAGTGTGCTAATTATACTGTCCAATTCTTCCATAGCCTTACTGATATTTTTGTTATCTGCTTCTTAAGTTTTTGAGAAGGATGTTAAAATCTCTTACATGTTTGTTATTATATGTTTTCCTTCTAGTCTTGTAAAATACTGCTTATATATTTTGAGGTTAAGTCATTAGCATATATAGATTTTAAATAGTTGTATCTTTTAAATGAATTTTTTAAAAACTTTGGTCACTATAAAATGCCCTCCCTCCCTCCCTCCCTCCTTCGCTTCCCACCTTAAAGTCTACTTCTCTGAGAGTGGAAGGGCCACAAATCAGTTTGTTTTGGTTAAGGTTTGTCTGATACATCTTTTTCCATCCTTACATTTCCAATCTCATTATATCCTTACTTTTAAAGTTATCTCACACAAGCAGTGTTTAGTTTTGTTTTCCTACCCAGTCTGATGATCCTTCCTTGTGCAACTGGAGCACGAATCCATGTACATTTCACATAATTACTAAAAAATTTAAGTTTAAATCTACTATCTTTATTTTCTCTTTATACTACCAGTCACGTTCCTTTTTCTTTTTTACCTTCTGTTAATCAAATATTTCTTTTTTTTTTAATTGTTTTTTTTTAAGATTTTATTTATTTATCTTTAGAGGGGAAGGGAAGGAGAGAGGGAGAGAAACATCAATGTATGGTTGCCTTTCATGCATTCCCTGCTGGGAACTGGCCTGCAGGGAACCGGCCTGCAACCCGGCTATGTGCCCTGACTGGGAATCGAACCGCGATTATCTGGTTCGCAGGCCCGTGCTCAATCCACTGAGCTACACCAGCCGGGCAAATATTTCTTAAAAATTCCATTTCCCCCCTCTGTTAGCTTGTTACTTTTATATTATTTCACTATTTGAATAATGATTAGCCCAGAAATTAAAACATATGTCCTTGAGTTATTAAAGTTTTCATATAAATTAGCACTTATACACACAAGATAATCCAAGGACTTCAAGAACATTTTAAATTTCTTACCCCTCTCACTTCTGGGTACAGTTGTCACACTTTCAATTTCTACATATATTGTAAATAACATTATATCATAATAACTGCATTATTATTATGGTAATTTGTCATGTCCATTTACATTTCTCTACAACTTCACCCTCACTGTTGCTTTTCATTTCTTCTCGCATTTCTCTGCTTCCATGTGGCATCCTTTTCTTCTGAAGAATTCCTCTGGTGATGATTAATTATTATTGTCCGGGAATGATCGATCACATTTTATCTGAGAATGTCTTCATTTTATCTTCATTTTTGGAGCATCTTTTCCCTAGGTTTAGCATTCTGGGTTGAAAGTTATTTTTCAGCACTTTAAAGCTTCCGTTCCAATATTTTCTAGTTTCTGTCATGTGGTAGAAGGTGGTGGGTCTTTTTTTCTCTAGACCAGTCAAGCTTTGTTGCTGGCTTTTCCCTTTCCTTTGATTCAGGGAACAATTTTACTATAATGTGCCTAGGTAGCTATGGTGTTCTACTGTTTTTCCTGGGATGTAGGAGACCGTTCTGCATGGCGTGGGCCCAGCCCCCAGTGGCAAACCTTTACTGCAAAATAACTTCCTAAAACCCATGTTAAACCTTCCAAGGATCAATGCAACCGGTTCAACCATTTTTGCCTTTTCATTTGTGAATATCCTTCTTCTGTGATGTGATTAGCAGCATCTGTTCCTTTGTTTGTTAAAGGTAACCACCTAAAACCACCTGTGCATAGTAAATGAGGACCCAATAAAAGCTGATCACAGCAAGGGCCGTGGCTTTTGCTCCCTTTGAGAGAAAAGCCATGCTGTCCCTTTTCCTCCACTGGACTCGGTAGTCCTTGTGAATGTCTCACTTCATCCATAATGACGGGACACTGCGGGCCGGTGTCTGCATCCCTGGGGCTGTCAGCGCTTTATCCTGTGGCTTGATGTCCTTGTTACTTCCGGATGGCTCTCACCTACTACTTCTGTCCTCTCTCCCCTCTCTTCCTGGGGCTGCAGTCATGCAATGGACCTGCATACTGTCCCACATTTGTTTAATGCTGTCTTCCGGATTTTTGCCCTTTTTTTTTTCATGCTTTAGTCAGATCATTTCTACTGACCGATCTGCAAGCCTTCCCTTCATCTACGTCTAATCTGCTGTGAAGCCCTGCTATTGGGTATGTAATTTCAGTTCTGGAATTTTCATTTTTTGTCGATTCCTGTTCGTCAGGCTATCTAGTTACAATATCGCCATAGCTGGGAGTCTCCCCAGTCTCGTATATTTCTAATGCTTTATTTTGAGACAACACGGACCACAGCTGCCAAAACCATCCAGAGTCCCCACGTCCTCTTCGCCCAGCTTCCCTCTGTGTTAACATCCCGCGTAACCACAGAACAATGGTTAACACTGAGAAATTAGCCTGGCGTAACATACCGACTAACCCACAGAATCCACGTGCACTTCTCGTTTGCCCACCAACATCCTTTTTCTGTTCTTAGACCTGACCCAGGACCCAAAATTGCATTTGGTTGCCAGGTCTTCTTTCTCTTTTCCAATCTGTGCCGGCTCCTCAGCTCTCCTTGTTTCCTAACGTGTGATGTTTACTCATGATTGGCTTGTGGTCGTGCACTATTTGTAAGAATGCCACAAAGGCCACGTGCCCCTCTCAGTGTGTCACATCGGGTGTATGAAACTGGTGCCTTATTAGCAGTGATGTTAACCTTCATCACTGGGTCAAAGGGCGTCTGCCAGGATTCTCCACTGTACCGTGATTATTTTTCCTTTGGAATTATTAACTATTAGGGAAGAAATTTTACAATTATCTGTTTCTGCTTATACTTCTACCTACTAATTTTAGCTTCTATCAGCATGTCCTGCCTGCAGATTATATTAGTGTGATATTGAATGGTGATTTATTTCTCTCACTCTTTCTATATTGTAACTGGAATTCTTCCATGTCAAAGAGTGGTCTGTTCTCTCCCGTTTATTTATTTTTTCAGATATTTCTTGGCGTCAGCACGGAGATTCATTGTGTTCTTTGGTCTATGACACCGCCGGGGGCTCTGTGTCCTGTGACGGGGACTCCCTCCACCCCTGTCTCTGAGTCTGCATTTACATTTCCAACCACGGTCTGGCCTCGAACAGTTGATTCGGGGATTCTCCCTCTCCTTATTGGTAACTTGCTTCTGAGACAGTGAAAAATCTAACTCTTATTCATATACTTTTTAAATTTAAAAGGGTGTTTTTTTTCAGTACCAACACAAGTTTATGAAAAAAAGAAAAGGAAAAAACCGATTTTCTGTGCACATGGGTGGCTTCTTCCAGCCACGTGCTCAGATTTTATGCAGTCATGACATTATGTGTACTTTGTTTAATATTAACATTATTTGATATACACTTTCCTATATATGTAACCATTTTGCATGTTTAGCAACCTCCTAGAAGGGGTGTCCAACCTTTTGGCACCTCTGGGCCACCCTGGAAGATGAGTTGTCTTGGGCCCCACATTAAATACATTGTGACACATAATCACAAAAGAATCTCATAATGTTTTAAGTAAATTTGCGATTTTGGGTTGGGCCGCATTCATAGCCATCCTGGGCTGCAGGTGGCCTGTGGGTTGGACACCTCTGTAAGGAATGCCTTACCAATACATTTATGAGCTGTTATTCACCAACTCATCAAAACCCCATGACAAATCACACACATACAGGCACACACACATTTATTTTAAAAAGTAAAACAGGGCACCTTTCATTTGCTGTCAACTTACCTTACTTAGCAGGGGTAGGCAAGACTGAGAGGCAGACCCATATTCAATTATCCATGAATTCAGTTGGAACTTACTCACTGAGAGCCTACTATGTGCCAAGCACTGATGGTGAAATGATAACATAGACCTAGAAATACTGCTTGCCCTTGTTCGGGTTACTTACAGTCTAGTGGGGAAGATAAATATAAAATTTGCCCCCAAACAGCCAATGGTACAAAAAACAGCAGCAGAGGGATATGAAATGCCATCAGGAAAGGTCAGGGTGACTTTCCGGAAACGCGACAACGCAACAAGTAAGCAAGTTGAGAGGGATGCGCAGGGGACACGGAGGCACAGACGGAGAAAGGGCTGCTCCCGGCAGCCTGTTCCCCTCACCCGCAAGCGTCCGCGGCTGCCACCTTCAAGGCCTGCGTGTGACAGTCTGTCACACGGCCCTCTCCTCACCCCCAACACAATTTCATTTATCTGCACATTGTCATGAACACTTGTTTGTTGATGTACTGATGACAGCCTTTCTGACAGGTGTGACGTGGTACCTCATCATGGTTTTAATTTGTATTTGTCTGATTAGTGACACTGAGCCTATTTCCATATATCTATTGGCCCTCTGTGTGTCCTCTTTAGAGAAGTGTCTATTCAGGACCTCTGACCATATTTTAATTGAGTTGTTTGGATGTGGGTGTTGAGTTGCATGAGCTCTTTATAAATTTTGGATATTAACCCCTTATCAGATGTATCATTGGCGAATATGTTCTCCCATTCAGTGAGTTGTCTTTTCATGTCATTGTGGTTTTCTTTGCTGTGTAAAGACTGTTTAGTTTGAGGGAGTCCCATTTGTTCGTTATTTTTGTCCCATGTGCCCCTGGAGATATGTCAGAAAAAGTATTGCTAAAAGAAATGTCAGCGAGCTTACTGCCTTTACTGTCTTTTTACAAATTTTATTTATTTACTCATTATATTTTTTCCCATTACTATTTATCCCCTATTGCCTTTATTATTTTTTTTTAGGAATTTTATGCTTTCCAGCATTATATTTAAGCCTTTCAATTCATTTTAAGTTTATTCTTATATATGGTGTAAGGGGGTTAGTTTCATGTTTCTACATGTATCTGTCCAATTTTTCCAACACCATTTATTGACTAGACTGTCTTTACCCCATTATATGTCCTTGCTTAAAAGAAAAAAATTGAACATGAACCTAATCAAACCTCTACACCTAAAGTTTATGAAAAATATAGAGTTTATGGAAAAATATAGAGGCTAAAGTCACATGTTTAATGTCACTGCAATATTGCAATTCACTGAATCTAAGATATAAGAAATTAGTTTCTTTAACAAATAAATAAAAGGCATTTTTTCAAAAGAAGGGGGTATAGGAGGAATTATCAACTAAAGGAGAAATAAGAGATATCTTAACCAAATATAATATTTAAATTCTGACTCAAAGTAACCAACTGTGGATTGACTTAAAAAAAAACCAAATAGAGGAAAATCAGACACGAATGGCTATGAGTTGACATTAAGGAATCATCACTAATGTTGCTGGGCGTGACAATGGTTATTTCTCTAAAAGTTCTTAGCTGTTACAGAAACTGAAGTATTTTTTTTTAAAGATTTCATTTACTTCTTTTTAGAGGGAAGAAGGGAGGGAGAAAGAGAGGGAGAGAAACATCAGTGTGAGAGAGAAACATCCATCAGCTGCCTCTCGCATGGCCCCAGCCTGGGACCTGGCCTGCAACCCAGACACGTGCCCTGACTAACCAAACCAGCAACCTTTCAGTTTGTGGGATGAAGCCCAACCCACGAAGCCGCACCAGTCAGGGAGAGATACTAAGTCTTAACTAAAGAATGGCATGATGTCTAGGCTTTTCCTTAAAACATGCCAATGCACGCATGTGCACCACACACACACAAGGAAATTGTAGGGTAACAGATGAAACCACGTTTGCAGACTGGAGTGGTCTGTTGCAGCTGGATGGTGGGCACCCAGGGTCCATCACAGTCTCTTCTTAGTCTTGTGCATGGTCTTAGAGTTCTGTTATAAAAGCTTTTTTAAAAAACGGGAAGCAGATTGAGTAGGATATATCAAGAAGTAAGATTTCTACCTTATAAGCTGATCCAATTTCATAATCGGTGAAAAATGCGACGGGCGGCTTGGCGAGGAACACTGGGGTGTCCATACAACTGCGAATGGCAAAGGGGAGAGAGGCTGTTTGCTTCGTCCATGAGACGAAAGTCCGCGCAGGGACTCAGTCGCATAAAAATGACACACCCAAGCCCTCACAGATCCTCACAACACGTCATTTGCTGGGTTTTGCTGTTGTTACAGCAGGTTACAAAATAAGTTTGCAGCATTATTGAATCTTTGTAGAAACAGAGGCAGCTACAAATCTCGTTTCCAGTGTGCACAGGAAACACTCTGGATGCCTAAGCTCCAAAACGTGAACTGCCTTTTTACTACAGGTGCTGCTTTTCCTTCTCTCTCTCTTTTTTTAATCCTCACTAAAGAACATTTCTTCATTGCTTTTCTAGAGAGAGATGGAAGAGACAGAGAAACGTCCATGCCAGCGAGAAGCGTCACTGCTTGCCTCTTGTATGCGTGCCTACCAGGGACCATAAGCGCCAGGGCCAGGGACTGAACTCACCACCTAGGCATGTGCCTGACCAGGAATAGAACCCACAAGCTTTCAGTTACAGGAGAACACTCCAGCCAACTGAGCCACACCAGTCAGCTTTTCTTTGAAATAGTAGTCTTTTCTGATTTTTCTTAATAAAAAGATATTACTTGTCTGATCAAGAAAAGTTAATATAAATTATGAACCTATGAAGCAACTCATTTCTTTCTTTAGACCCATTATCGAAATACAGCTAAAGAAAGACTTTCTTAAAGAAAAATCACAACTTAAGTCTAAGTATCTGCGATTAATCGAATTTGAAACATGTTTATTGAGACATACGCTCCTCCTGTGGGAGGAGCACATGACTCGCAGAGATCCCTCCACTCCACTCAGACTGTGGAGGCGTGACCCTCTTCCTCAAGACTGTGGCGGGCCAGGAAAGCACAAACCCAGGAGTCTGGGAGTGTCCCAAGGCCACGTCCGTGGTTAGCTCTGATGCCCTGCTCCGCACTGATAAAGCCACCCTGTCCCTCTACAAAAATCTAGGATCCTTCATAAGCCAGACCAGATCCAGGACCTTCTGGGTTTTACTCTAAAGCAGCGATTTTCAACCTTTTTCACTTCATGGCACACATAAACTAATTACTAACATTCTGCAGTACACCAAAAAATCTAGTATTTGCCAATCTAACAAAAAATAAGTATACTTTTGATTCATTCCTACCAGACAGCTATTGTTATGTTGGCTCTTCTCATTTTTTAAAAAATTTGACACTAAAGGAAAGAAGTCAGTGGCCCTAAATTGTCAGCTGCTGCATATTTTAAAAATTCTTGCAGCATATGGGTTGAACATCGCTGCTCTGAAGGGTTAGATTTTCTGAGAATGCGAGTCAGGGAAAGACGCACCTCTGTCCCTGCTCTCCTCTCGGGAATTCTGCGGGCTTGGCCTTCCGAGGAGGAAAGATAAGAGACCTGCCTCCGTGTGAAGTGTTAGGAGGGAAAAACCGAGGGTTTTTTAGGAAGTGGTTCCGACTCTCCATTCTGGCAAGGAGAAGTCGCTCCAATTGTCTCTGTGGCACACGTAAATGGTTCATCCAGTTTTTATTCTTTGGTGGACTTGCTTTCTTTGAAACACAAAAATGTATAGAGTCAATGCCAGGCAGAGAGGCTGTGGATTTATCACAACTTCCTGTGTCCCCTGGAACTCCTTCCCCTCACCATCCCTCTGTCCCTACTGCCCTGCCCCCACATGGCCGTGCCCAGGCCTCAACACGGACCTTGGCAGTTTCTTTGGTTCTGAGTTTGGCCTTCAGAGATGAGTCCCACGGCAGGCTGTCCACAGTGTAGTCCGACTCGTCCTCAGACCTCGTGCGTGTCTTCCTGAATGAAGCTTTGAGCTTCTCGGTCAGCTCTTTCCTGGCGACGGAACGCTTCTCACAACTGAACGTCAGTTTTAAATAGCCAGGGGCGAGGTTTCCTGTGGCACCAAGGAAACCCACTGAGTGGCCATACCAAGGGGAGGAAGGAGGTGGACATGTCTCAGGGGACTAAATAAAACCACTTGGCATCTTGTCCTAACTTTCACCTGCACTGCTAGATATACTTGCTCTTCAGCATATAAATGACTCCTGGAGTTTATTTTATCTCCTCAAGACTTAGAACTTGGCTGTTAAAATCTGTTGTCAAATATGGTCAAAGGACATGAGTGCACCACTGTGACCCAACACGCACATCCATATGTGAACATGTTTTGCTTTTAAAAAGCTCACACAGGAATCGAAGTTTGTATTAGCTTTTTATACCTTTAAGATCATCCCCAGAACGTTCAGCGAAAATACTCATGGCTTGGAAGAACACAACGGAACTGGTACCACCACACGTTTCTTAGCACAATGCCTGATAATCCTCAACACATGGCAACGCCGCCCTTCCTCATCCGCATGAAATAGTGGGTTTCCAACTAACTTTCAAATGCTGAGTGGCTTAGTATTCCACGACACGTGCTTCCACTACCTCTTTCTGGCCTTGTTTTTCTAGGCAGCTTGGGCTGTAAGGGGACTCTTCCCACATCCACACACTCAGCTCTCTAGGTCCCAACCCTCCCACCCTGACCCTTCTTGGTTACAATGGCCCGGAGGTCAGCAGAGTCTCATGGACCAGGGCTGCAGGGAGGCTCTTCTTTGGAGCCTGGCTCCAGGAAGCCATCCTGATGTTGACCACAACATCCACAATGGCTCCCCCCAAAACCTGCCTCCCTGCTTAAGGCCAGCTACCTACCCCCAACTCATTCTAAGAAGATTCTGCCTCCTATATCACAGGAAACTAGCCAGATCTCTCTCTCTCTCTCATTCTCTCTCTCATACACACCCTTCTCTACCTTCCTACCCAGTCTTCTCTCCATACTCAAAGGGCGAAAAGTTGTTCCAGTCCTGTATGAGGGATGGGAAACCCCTAAGACCACGCTCCGACTCCATCAGGAACTTGCCCCTTGCTTATCCATGCCTTCACTGAAATACATTTGATTTTTGTATTTGATTTTGTATTGCAGTTCATTCAAATACAGTTTTGAAAACTTTTACATCTCTTGGTGCATCATGTTCCACAACGAGGAGTTGGGACTTTTGTCTGGCAGGTGTCAGGGAGCCAGTGGGGAAGTGGCAAGCTCAGCTTTGAGCCTCCCAAGGGTCACTGTCAAAATGAAAGGGGGGAGGCTATGAAAAAGGAAATGGCAGCAAAGGTGGTCCTGCTACTAAAGAGCTTCCCTGGGCTGATGTCAGAGGCTCAGAGACAGTCCAGCATTACCTTTGGGCGCAGAGCAAAATGGCATGGTATCTTTGTAGTAGTCGTCCGGGCAGATCAAATGATGCTTTTGTAGCAACTCGTTGTCCACACACCATCTGAAGATAGTCTTCTCTACAGAGGAGGGAATGAGGACAAAGGCTGAAGAAGCCACACCCACACTTTCCTCATCCTCTGACCCTAAAGCACCCTAATAAAATTCTTTCTCAGAACCCGGTGGTCATTGTGAGACTCCAAAAACTAATCTGCCACTTAAAAGAAGACAGCCGTGGGGCAAGGCTGTGTTGTGGTATTATCTGAGCTAAAACATTGTTACTCATAGAAAGGTCTGTAACAAAACAGCATTAAGAGAAGTATGGTAGATTGAATAAGTGGACCATGGTTCTTCATTTGTGTCCGTATCCACATCCTTTGCTATGTGACTCCTGCCACTATAAACAGGGTGCACTCTTGACTTTGGCCATGTGCTTGATGCGTTTTGGCTAATGAGATGTGGGCAGAGGTTTGCAATGTGCTTGCACAGATGAGCTTCTCCCCTCCTGGGCCTCTGCCATCATCAGGATGGTGAATGGAAGATTGGAAAGTTTCCAAACTTCGTTGCTTGCGCCATTAACCAACATGATGATTTTTAAATGGCCTCTCCTTTTGGAGGTTCCTAAAACCAAGGATATAGGTGAGACAAGTGAAGAATACATGTTTTTCCCATCATAGGAGGGGGGCACATTCCCCCCAAAGTGGAATTTTTAATAAAAAATTGTGTATTTATTCTTACATGTTTAAACTTCAGTCACCTTCAACGTACTCTCCATTTGATGCAATGCACCTATCAAGACTCTTTTTCTACTGCTCAGAACTATTTCTGAACTTGTCGATTTTGATGCCTTTTCGTGCTTCTGTTTTTTGTTTCACCTGACCAAGGTTAATGTGCCCTGTGCCTCCTGATGGGCCACAGTGAGGACAGCACAGCGTAATCCACATGGTGTTGCTGCCAGCAATGAGTTCGAGGCTGGTCATGATGAAGCATTAGAACCACCCTGCAGAATGAAAGGCCTGTGAAGAAGGGTCAAGAGAGGGGATCGTGGGAAGATGTGGAGTCGGAAGCACCAGAAATCTGTCTCTCCACTTAGACAACGATCGATCGTGCTGGCAGAGTCAGCCTGATGGAACCAGTCTGGAACTCTGGAGTCTATCGAAGGCTGTAACTTCCAGGCAAAGATGTGGACAGTAAATCACGGTCAACATCACCTCATAGCATGGTAGTACTTGGTTGTCCCTCATCTCCAGTCCCAGAGCAGGCTTCTGTGCACATGCTTCTGGGGCAACCTGCATACAGTCTGTGGGAACCTGGGTGGACAAAGAGGGCCCTGTCCTCCTCCAAAAACCAGGGATCTGTGCTCTGGTTGCTGATTACACCTTCTGATCGCAGAGGCGTGGACAAAGAGGTGGTGGCCACTATTGGCACACCTCCCTTCCCTGTGGCCAGCCTCCCCCTCCAGCTGAGGTGACTGCCAGGGAATTTAAAGGGCTGGCACCTTTATTTCACCCCTTCATCTCTCTGTTTTTCCCTTTATGGGAGCCAGGTATTACATACGATGACATTCAAAAACAACTGAATATTTGGGGGAAATTGAAGTATGACCGTACATGCCCAAGGAAAGACTCAGGAAAGACCCGAGGCCTTAAGTTTACACCTTAGGCTGCCCCTCAGCACCTACAGCCTATGATAATTAAACAAAACAAAGCAAAACACCACCACCACCAACGACAACAACAAAAAACAGAAACAAAACCAGCAAACTCTGTGGGATGCAAAGTTGGTACAATATCCACAAATCAATTGATGTGATACACCACGTAAACAAAACGAGGGATGAAAACATGATCACATCAATAGATTCAAAAAAAGCATTTGACGAAAACCAGCACCCACTTATGATGAAAACTCCCAGCAAAGCGGGAATAGAGGGAACACACCTCAACCTAATAAAGGCCATGAATGACACACCAATAACTAACACCATATTCAAACTAGGAAAAAGTAAAAGTGTTTCCCTTAAGATCGGGAACAAGACAGGGATTTCTGCTCTCACCTCTCTTATTCCACACAGCGGCGGAAGTCCTAGCCACGGCAATCTGACGAGAAGAAGAAATAAAAGGCAAAGGAAGGGACAGGAGGAGGTAAAACTGTCATTATTTACAGATGACACGATACTGTATACAGAGAACCCTAAAAATTCCACAAAAAAATTACTAGAACCAACAAATGAATTCACGAAAGTGGCAGGATACAAAGTAAATATTCAGAAATCAGTCACACTTTTATACACCAAAAATGGACTATCGGGAAGGGAAACTAACAAGGCAATCCCATTTACAACTGCATAAAAAATGCCAGGAATAAATTTAACCGAGGATGTCAGAGACTTGTACTTCAAAAATTATAAGACACCGAAGAAACTAACTGAAGATATAAATAAATGAAAGCATATACCATGCTCATGGATAGGAAGAATTAACACCGCTAAAATGTCTAGACTACCTAAAGCAAACTATAGATTCAGTGCAATTCCTATCAAAATACCAAAGGCATTTTTCACAGAACTAAAACAAATAATCCAAAAATTTATATGGAACCACAAAAGGCCCCTCACAGCCAAATCAACCTTGACAAAGAACAAAATTGGAAGTATCATGCTATCTGACATCAAACCATACTACAATTTTAGTAATTAAAACAGCATGGTACTGGCATAAAATAGACACATAAATCAATGGAAGACTAGAGAGCCCAGAAATAAACTCATGTGTCTATGGTCAATCAATATATGACAAAGGAGACAAGAACATACAATGGAGTAAAGACGATCTATTTAATGAATGGTGTTCGAAAACTTGGACAGGTACGTGCGAAAAATAAAACTAGACCGCCTTCTTACACCTTATACAAGAATAAACTCGAAATGGATTAAACTCAAAACCATGAAACTCTTAGAAAAAAATACAAGCCGTAAAATCTCTCACATTCTTTAGTGATATTTTTTCTGACACAACTCCTTGGACAAGGAAAACCAAAGAAAAAAATAAACATACGGGAGCACATCAAACTAAACAGGTTTGGTACGGAAACCACCAACAATGCAGTAAGGAAACCCGCTGAATGCAAGGAGACAGCTGCCAGTGATGCATCTCGTAAGGGGTTCATATTCAAAATTTACAAAGAACTCATACGACTCAACACTAACACCTGCTACAGCAGGGATGGACCTCAAGGACATTGCGCTAAAGGAAATAAACCAGTCACAAAAAAGACAAATACGGTATGACTCCGCTAATCTGAGGTGCCCAAGAGTAGTCCATGTCCCAGAGACGGAAAGGAAAATGGTAGTCACCAGGGGCTGTGGCGGGGGCGTGGGGTTACTGTTTAATGGACATAAAGTTTCAGCTGTACTAGATGAAGAGAGTTATGGAGGTGAATGGTGGTGACGGTTATATATTAAAATGTATTTAACACCAGCTACCAAACTGTATGCTTAAGAATGGTTAAGATGGTAAAAAAAAAAAAAAAAAAAACTGTTGAAACATGAAAGACGGGAAAAGATCCAAACATTGTTCCAAATGAAAAGTCTAAAAAGAGAGACATGACAATTATATGCAACAAGACTTCCTAGACAGGATCCGGGACCAGAGGGGAGAGTGAGCCACTGTGGGCCAGCGGGGAAAACGTGCAAGGAACCTGCGAGCTGGAGGTTAAGGTTGCACCAGTGCTGATTTCTCAGCTGGGAGGGTGGTGTGCTGGTTGTGTAGGAGAGTGTCCCTGTTTTGGAGACATGCACCCAGGAGCGTTTTGTGGTAATGAAACATCACGTCTGCAGCCTGCAATCCAAACGTTCAGATAAAGACTAGACAGTGAGCAATGGAGCAAATATGGTAGTATACTCACAGCTGGGGAATCAGGGCAAAAGGCATAGGGGAGTTCTTTATACACACCTGGAGGCATCTTGATGATCGGCTCAAGGTCGTGAACTTTGGCCTGGTGCATGGCTCGCTCTTTCTCCGCAGAGGCCCGTGCACAGGCCTGAATGATATGTCTCTCCAACATTTCAAACTCATCCAACCGCTGCTTATAGAGCTCCCGAATCTGGCAGGTGGGTGATCAAAGGCACAGAAGTATGAGATCATGTAGCTTTACTCAACCTCACCCCAGTGTCAGAGCTTCCTGTGAAGCCTAGAACAGTCATAGAACTATAGAGACCATCGGATTTAATCTGACATATGTGAAAACTGAGACTGACAGAGGAAAACGGCTCAAAGGTTTTTCATAGGAAAGTCAGTAACAGAGGCAAGCTGGAAACCCGGTCCCCTGATTTTGTAGTAAAGAGAGCTGTGACCCAAACTCTGAAATACCAAATACAAGTGAGCACACTGCTACGGTAGACAAAGGTCTGTGCCAGGCTGATCCCTCTGCAAAAAAAGCACTTGCTACTGGGCTGCAGGGAGTGGAGTGAGCACACCGCCTCCAGCTGCCGGCCCTTCTGAGTTTCTCAGCAGCTTGAAAGCGCTTCCTCCGTTTAGGGAGTCCTCAGCAGCACCGCCCGCAGGCAGAGCCAGCAGAGAGAACTCAAGTCAGCTGCTCTCCTCCTTGCACAGATGAGGAAGCAGAGTTGCTCTTCTACAGGCTGGGCACGCCTCCTACAATCTAGGGATAAGTGCCTCGGTTAAGATTGTGGTTTGTCATAGAAAGGCAGGGGCCCGCAAGGCGAGGGTGGGGGGTATGACTTTTAGATTTATCGCCAAGGAACGACTAGCCCACCATCTGCCCCAGTCGTCTTATTTATATATACTATACAGACATACCTCGTTTTATTGCATTCTACTTTATTGCGCTTCACAGGTTTTTGTGTTTGTTAACCAATTAAAGGCAAGACCTTTTACCATTCACTTTATTTTGGGGATCTGGAACCAAACCCGCAATATCTCCTAGATATGCCTGTTTGTAATGTGTTTAAGTTTTCAGAGAATTAAAGATAGGTGTTACAGATACAGCATTTTGTGTGTGGTATGTGTTTTTGTGCCTGTGTATTCCGAGCATTCTTTAACTATAATGTCGAATACATGGCGGCAGGGACTTAGCTCTTTCTCAGCTACAACCCCCGGTGCCTGGAACAGCGTCTGCCACCCAGCAGGTGCTGACCTTGGTCGGGAAGCAGAAGACAGCCCTCGTGAGGGCGCGCCCTGGGTCTCCGGCACTGTCCGCGGACGCGATGGCCCCGCGCCCTCCCCCCCTACCCCAGCGTAGGAAGCGCGCGCGGGCGCCGGGCCCGTTACCTGCTGCAGCTCGTCCACGAACTCCTCGTGGAGCGCATTCTCGCTGCCGCGGGCCTTGATCAAACTTGTGCTCACGTCTTCACCGATCACCTCAGCCGTGTACAAATTTCGGAAGACGCCAGTGAGCAAGTACGAGATGTCTTGGGTGCGCAGCGAGGTGGGGCGTAGACGCAGCAGTTGCGGCTCCAGGAGAGGCGCCAGCGACGAGACGCGGCGGGACCGACTCCTGAAGCCGTAATGGAAAGTCTCAGGGTAGGCGAGGGAGGACAGCCGCGCGGACTGGCTGGGACTGCGGGTTCGGGCCGGAGGTGAGGATGGCGTCCACGCTGCCTCGGAAAAGCCGTAGGACTCAGACCGGGCTGAACGGCGGTCCTCGGCTCGCCCGGTCTCCATGGCAACTAAAAAATGCCGCTAACTCTCCGCGGCACTTCCGTTTCTGGCCCTGCCTTTTCCGCTTTGTTTCCTCCCCCGCCCTTCCTCGGCCCTGTCGTCACCGTCGTCAACGTAAACGTGCGCATCCAGAGCATCACATGTATTCACGTGAACTCATGGAGCAGGGGTTAGGGGGGCTCGGTGGAGGCATTGTTGACTGGCATAATCAGGACAGTCTGATTATAAAACCTGGTACCTAATCGCCTACCTTCATCTGTCCGTTTTCTAATTTGTTAAGCAATCATTCGCTCATTTAATATTTATTGTATAAAGATTCTGTTTTAGGTCTGCTCTGGGAGCTAGAGATACCAAAAGGGAGTGAGATGCTGCTTCGGCCCTTCGGGAGCTCGCTGTGTGTGTGTGTGTGTGTGTGTGTGTGTGTGAGAGAGAGAGAGAGAGACAGACAGAGAGACAGACAGACAGACAGGCAGACAGACAGGCCAGCGTGGTGAACCGGGTGAAACAGGAAAACAACTAGTTTAGTGGGTTAAGGCCAAGGTATAGATAATGTTGGTGGTCACGGAGCCACAAAGGACAGGAACTTAATCGGTCTATAAGGGGGTGAGAACAGTGGCTTTGGGGAAGTGAAGACCAAGCAGAGATTTAAAAGAATGAGTAGACTCACCATTAGGCATCAAGGAAGTGGGAATTAAAATCACAATGTGAAAATATGACACACAGGTAGAATGTGCAATCAGTCAATCGACAAATCAGTAAAAACGAATGAGCCAGCCACCCAGTGCTGGGGAGGATGTGCAGCATCTCAGTGCTCCAGTTCTCGTATATTGCCACAGAGATGCGAACTAGTAGCACGGGTCTGGAAGAGTTCGGCAGTTTCTTACAGAGTTACAGATAAAGCAGCGCCCCCTTAGGTATTTTCCCAAGTGAATTGGAAATGTATGGGCACGCAAACCCCTGTGTGCAAATACTTAAGTCAGTTTTATTCATAATCTCTAAAAACTGGGGAAAAAGTGTCTCATCCACTGGCGAAAGTATAAATAAATTGTAGTACATCTATACAATGGAATACTCTAAAAAATAATGAGAAAACAGACTATTGATACAACAGCATAGATGAATGATCGAATGCCTTGTGCTAGGTAAAAGAAACCATTCTCAACAGGCTATACATACTGAATGATTCCATTTATAGGACACACTGGAAAATGCAAAAGAGAAGATAGGCCAGGGGTTGTTAGGTGCTGGTGGTAAGATTTAGTGTTGGCTCCAAAGGAGCATGAAGGGGTTACTCGGGGGAGGGGGTGATGGAAATGCTCTATATTTTTATTGTAGTGATGGTTACAAACCCCAAGGGCTGTCAAACCTCATGGGCCTATACACTGTAAAGGGTGAATTTTACTGTATATAAATGATACTTGTTTTTCAGGTGAAAAAAGTAAGGATGAGTCCGAGTAAGCCATGAGTGAAGGAAAACGCACTCACTGCAGAAGGTCCCCGTTGTACAAAAGCCATGCAAAAACGAAAACAAAAACAAAAACAAAAAAACGCATGGGGGAGGACATGAAAGGAGATCGGAGTGGAACTGATGAGAGATCTATAATGTGGAATGGGCAAGACTTGCTGATCAGTAATGGGAGTGAGAGCAAAGAGGGGTCAGGAAGGAGTCCCGAACATTCTGTAGTGCCACCAGGTGGGCCCTTGCATTACCCACTGGAATGTTCAGGAGGAGGGCTGCTCTTGACCAGGGCAGCCATTTGACATCACACTGACTGTTGTCATTGGCATAGTGCAGCCTCTACTCATAGGCAGTACAACTAGCCACTTTTTACTCCTGGGACGAGGCCTGAAACCCACTTCCTGCAACAGCCCCAGGATGCTTGCCCACAGACCTGGCCCACTTCCGCTACCCTGGGTTGGGCCTAGCTCCCTCATCTGTTCTTTCCAGTACTTTGTCCTCAGAACTGGCAATCTAGGGCCCCTGCCCTCGACTGTGTACTTGAGAGGACCCTGCTCTGGCTCTCCTTCCTCAGCACCCTTCTCTACAGGGTGAGGAGACCACTAGGTCAAGGTAACATGCCCCATGCCTGCCCTGTAAGTACCTGGGACCCTAACCTGATTTGCCCAGACATCCCGAGCCATGGACAGGGCCCGTGCAGGCTTTCCTCCCACTGCTGACTGGTGTTTGCACTAAGACATAGCTTTGGAGGGAGGTGCAGGGAGCTTGGGCAAGTGGGCTGGTTTGTCCAATTGTCTCTGTGCATGCAAGGTCCCCAGTGGTGCATGAGGGAGCTGGGGTGGCGAGAGAAGTGAAACAACCTGGGGGCCTCCATTGCACTAATAGTAGGAGTATGTCTGCCCAAGCTGGGTGGTCTTGTTAGTTAGGAGCCCTTCTGCTCATGGAGGCTCCCTGTCGTAGGGGAGGACAAGACAAGGGATTCTGGCCATCACTGTTGGCCTCTCCATCCTGCCTCCAGGCAGCCTCGGAGTAGGTCACTGGGAATCTGACCCAGCCAGGGAGGGGTCTCCTCTTTTTCAGACACCTCCTACTCTCTGGCTTCAGTCCCCTCTGCTCTGTCCAGCAACTCTTCACTTTCTCCAGTAGGGATAGCCACTCCTCCGTCCTCATCGTCTTTGACCTTTCAGCGCTGTCTGCTGCAGCGCGTTCCCTTTTAGTGACACACGCTGTTCTCTTGCTTTCCCCTCTCGGAGCTTCCCCCATCCGCATGCGCTCCTCCCTCTCCTATCAGTACCTCTCTGCCTGATAACCTGGATTCATCCCTGATTCCACCGTGCCCGGCATGCAGTCCGTTTGCTCTCTGACTAACCGAATAAACAAATGGTTCAAACCCTGCCACCTTTGGACCACGTGCCAGCCCCTCCCCAGGGAGAAACTCAGCAGCACAGCGGGAATTCTGACGAGCTGCCTTCATCATTTTATAACCTGCTCTGCTGACCCAAGTTGTGGTTTGTTTATCTCTGAGTTTCCACATGCATTGTTTGGCCTTTTATTTTTTTTTAAACTTTTAAAATTCAAAAGTTATACATCGTCATGATAAACAAAAATTAAATAGCACACAAAGAATAAAAAGTGTCCTCTACCTGATCTCCTTCCTTGGATTAATTCTGTGTCCCTCCAGCTATGTTGTCTACCTGTAAAGCCACCAGTATCTGTAGCTTTGTAAAAACTTTACCCAAAAGCACAAATGACATTACATTGTATTATATAGTACATATATTATATGTAGTCCAGCCACTTGCTTTTTTTCACTTATGTTCTACAGCAACTCACAGAAACGTGTTTGTTTTGTTTTAACAGAGGGAAGGAGGGGAACTCAATATGTGGAAATGTCAGTTATTTAACCAGGTCCCTGCTAATAAACTTACCCTTGTACAGTGTTTCTGTTATAATATACAGACAATATTATAGATTAAGTAATGCTATCATATCCTAGAATTAGAATTGCTTGGCCAAAGGGTATGCACATTTTCATCAGCCATGCTGGCCTCCTTGCTGGTCTTCCATGCGCCAGACACGCCCCTGCCTCGGGGCCTGGGGCCTGCCCAGGATCCTCCCCCACAGATGTCACCAGTGGCCCACCCTCCCACCTCCTTCAAGTCTTTGTTCAAATGCCCCTTCTCCCAGGAGATCCAGCCTGACCAACCTATTGAAATACGAACCCTCTCCCATTCCTGAATTCCCTTACTCTACTTTCTAAGTAGTCCTTATACCTGATATACTAAACAGTTTGCTTCTCGTGTTTATTACAGTGTCTCTCTTCTTTCCCTTGGAATTTAAGCCCCATGAGGCAGGGTTTTGGAATGTGTTGTTCATTGCTGATTCCCAAGCCTCTAGAACAGTATGTGGCACAGAGTAGGTGCTCAATAAATATTTGTTGAATAAATCAAATAGCAGAACAGTTTTCAAACTGGCGTTTCTGTTCCTCTGCAGTTTGCACATTCCTGAAGCGTGACTCCTCCCTCAGGGCTGTGTCTCCTCCCTCAGACGAGGGTCTGAGGGCCAGGCTCCCACCTGTCCCCCACACCAAGCACTGGACTCTGCCTGTGGCGTGGGGTAGGGTGGGAGTGAGCATTGGGACTTAGTCCACAGTGAAGTAAACATCATGGTTATATTCGCAGATGAATGCGATAAAATCCCACAAATACAATTATGAAAAAGTAACCCCAAATTGTCCCATACCGTCCTGGGATTACCCACAGGCCCAGAGACCTTGTGGTTGGGCATGGCATCCTGGGTCATTGCAAAGTCAGTCCTGTCTTCCCCGCAAGATCTGAATGTCCTCACTTTGCCACCGCTACTCCCTTGGGAGAGGCAGCTACACTTTTCCTCCTGATGCATCTGGACTTGGGTCCTGAGCCTTCTGGAGAGGGCTTGCATGGGGTTTTCCAGCCATCGCAAACACTGGGCAAACCGCTGGACCAAGGGCCGCAGGCCGGGCTCTGACCACCAGGACCAATAGCGAAGGCCAGGTAGAGGACAGCTGTGAGGAGAAGGGATTTCAGTGCGTGTCTGTCCAGCCAGCATTTGTCCATACCAGGAAGTCAGCATCTGTTATTTTGGCTTCAGTCCCCTTTGCTCTGAATCAGCCCCCTCTGATTCCGACGAGGGTTGTGACTTCTGACTGTAGAGCTCCAGGGTACGACGGGGCTTGCCCACAGTCTCACTCCAGGAAACAGCAGAACAGCCGCCATCTGCCGTGCCTTGGGACAGAGACTCCTCCATAGGCGAGGAGGAGGCAGAATAACCCTCACCCACCTCACCTGGCTTGTGGAGGTTTGTTTCTAGGGGAGGGGTTGGGCAGGGCCAGCACCGAGGCACGCCTGGAGCCTGACCATCCAGAAAGTTGGCATTCTTGGGTTGAGCCTCCCGCATCCCCAGAGAGCTCCAAGGGCCAAAGGAAGTGAGTGACTCGAGGCAGTCATTGGCCCTAACACTAGGTTTCACCCGTCACTAGTCATCCCAGAAGCCTCCTCCCCCCATGCTCG